AAACATAAACTGGTCGTTATGAACACAACACCGATGGGTGATTGATAAATACTTCGATTGATCATTGCATTCAAATACTTTCAATTTTCTCCGGCTCTATTTCCTTCATACAACGAACTATTGCAAAAGGACTACCGCATTTATTTTATTTGTTATTCATCTAAAAACTGATACGAGTAATGAAACTGAGTCTTTTCTTTTTGCCTGAGTTTTGAGTGCATGATATAATTTCATCTTTGGCGATTAGTTATCGACTTTGTCTGCGGTTATTGCACAAAAACCCATTTAGATTTAGCGACTACATTTTAATGATATCTCAAGTAACATTATGTTTCCTCGGGCGAATGAGAACTTTTAAAAAAACCAGAACGGACAAGATATTTACCATAAAGAATATCTGAGAGGGATACATAAAGAACCTTCCTTCGGTGGGGCGAGGAGACGTTCTTTTATCACAGAATTTCATTAAAGCACTGAGGACGATATTTTATCGATGGGAAAGGCGAGGAAAAAGGATTTAAATGCGGTTATAGAATTACTTTAGAATACACTGGCATTAACCCAATAAAAGTTACCAGTCGCTTGCTTCATAGGGACCCCATAAATCTTATTGCTATTATGAATGAAACACCGAATTTATGAAACATTGCATTTACCTAAATGGCGATATTTAGATGAAAATCGTACAAGCCAGCCTTATTCAGAGTCAAATAAATTTACCGTCAATAATTTACGAGAACCGTGCGTGACAATATCACCAAATATTTTTTTTTGATTACTAATAAGCTACAGCCGCAAATGTAAATAAAAAAGGCTCTTTGTCTTAAATATTCAGACACAGTTTGACAACAGAACTTTCTGCCATTTCCACTTTCTTTGCATGTAAAGCAATTAGGCTCTGCTATTATAAACAAAACATGGGCTACTTTAACTCAAAAAACTCATCGCACGGTTCTCTTAAATTGCTCTAAAGCTTTCCATAAGAAATTGATTAAAGCTGCTCTTTAAACACAAACTGGTCGTTACGAAAGCAACGCTGATGGATTTAACGTAATGAGGCACTGCTTTTAAAAGCAAAACATCAGCTTCTTAAAACTAAAAAAAAAAAATCCGCGCACAATTGTCTTGAATTGCATTTAAGCTTTCGATGTTGGCGTGAATATCACCCCGGTTTTAAATTATGCTGGGTCGAAAACTTGTCTTAAAAGGACAGCTGATATGGTAATCAAGTATAAATAATGATGGAATATTTCCTTGGGCGCGACAAGTGTCCATAAGTGACAAGAAACATCCTGCATATATATTAGCTGCTTTAAATTGGAGTACATGGGGGACGAAAACAATAAGGCTCTTGACAAAAATGTCGAGGCAATGAAGTTTGGTGACGAAACTAGCACCAATTGGTTCGAAGCGATTTAGAGATAAACAGCTTTAACGAAGCCACACCGATTCAATTGTCGTTTTTACCCGAAAAAGCTTTAAGTGTAGATGCGGCCACACACTTGATATCAAACATAAATGATTTGTGTAAACTTATATGACAGCGCAATTGGACAGGAAAGTACTCCATAATGTTACTGATATGAGCTGGTCCAACTTAGCTTTTGGTCTTTAAGACTCATTTAATCACCCGCCATCAGTGCAGCTTAGAGTGGGAAGAGAGAGCCCTCAGACAACATTTAAACAAAGAGTAATCGAGTCTTTAAACAAAGGTAAAATTTTGTCTTACTTAGTATTATAAACATTTTTTTACCCGCTGTAAAGCACATCCAATTGCTTCAGTAAAACTAATGTGATGTTACCTCGTATAGAAGCTAAGGCAAAAGGAATTGGATAAGCCTTTCATTTTACATTAATTTTTTATTCCCAACTAATCAAAGGGAAACCTTCTCTTGTGAATGAGTGGATGAGATTAATATATCATTGACCATTCATTTTGCCGTGATTTTTTTCGCCTCTTCCAAATTCAAATTAATATCTTCAGGTAGGGTTTGGTGCGTGGCTGAGCCAAATCAAGCGTGATTAAAAATGTTTGCGAGGGAGGAGGAGTAAAGTAAAGTAGTGCTCTATGTTTTTGACCGGCAGACAAGGCTAATTTGAGTTCAAGGAAGCCCCTTTTTTTTTTAAAGACTCGAACATAGCACGATGTCCACAACAAATGCTACGCATGCTGGCCAAAATTTCCGCGATAACAAGAGCTACCTTCACCTTAAAAGCTGTTTTAAAAACAAACATAAAAGCTTTCTTGATTGTCCTCTGCGGGCAAATAGACCACTTTGTGTTATTTTTTAGATTACGTCAAGTGTCTCCAATAGTTATTCGTATTTTTGTCCCATATCAGCCTAAGGACAAAGATAGTTAGATTAGAGGGAAAGCTATTCCTTAAGCAAGATGATTTGCATGAACTGACATCTCACCAGCAGTGAGTATCTGCAGTCTGAGTTGCAAAATATGGTCATTAAAAACAAACTAAGCGGCCATGATATTATTACTGACGCTATTCTGCTCCATTATTCAATTACTGCTAAAATGTTTGCAGGAAAGTTACCTTCGGGTTACAGACAGAAAAACTAAAAAAACAACAACGCTGCCTGAAAATATTCCAGCTATCAATTACTTACCCGCTTGTGCTACTTATTCATTTCTGCGACCAGCTTTCCGAGTCGCCTCACAGCTTGAATCACAAGCGCAAAATCTGTTGCTTTTCGGAAGAAAATCAAGCAGCCTTGGAATAAATGGAACGTACAAAGTAAGTGGAATTAAATTATTCAACTTTTCAGTATGATATGATTTCTTTGGAAAGAGGCCAAACGTCAGATCTGCCGTTTTTTGAGAACTTAATATTTCTCGTCAATCATCTTACAGATCAACTTTCAGTTGCGAATGGATTTGCTCTAACAAAATTGTTGCTTATAATTCTTTTTTTTTGCGTGAAAAAAGGCACGAAAAACGTGGAAACAATAAATGCCATATTTAGGAACAAAAAAAACATTTGCAAAAAATACTCTCCCTGGAAAAATTGAGATTGAAATCTCGATCTTACTGACGGAAGGAAGGCCGTCACGGAAAGAGTCAATCGCGTAGACAAGTAAGACAGCTGTTTTATGGACGATTTGAAAAGATCAATCAGTGAACATCAACATCGGACATGACTATTACTATCCGGCTCTTTTAAAGCTTAGCCTTTAGCTTAGACATACGTGTTTCTCAAATGATGTTGTAATCAAGAAACACTCGAATCCTGAGGCAAATTTGGCAACAAAAATTAACGATAAAAGGTTTCTTTTTTTTAATTTACGATTATTGATATATCCCGTTTTTAGGATATCATGGTATTATTGTTATCGGCCACAGAAATTGACTGAAATAAGACTTCTCAATGTCTTATTCAGATCGTGTTAAAGACTTCAGCTGGGTGAAGATACTTAGTGCATTTTGATAACTGGTGATCAACTCGAACATTGAAATGAAGACCGAACCGATTTTGTCCAAATGGATAACGAAAAAGTACCGTGAGCTTGATAAAAAAAAGCTACGTAATGGCTTCTGGGTGCCATAAAAGCATAAAAACTCCTAGCCAAAACAAGCTAAACACGTTTGTTCACTTAAATATGTCTTTCAAAAGACAGGTGACATTAAAACACGAAATAGTTTCCCAGGTTATCGATTATGTCTAATTATCCTGGAGTAGTAATCGTCTATCTGTGGATGGTCACGGGGTCGTCCACGTAACGGTTATCTAGATTCCGTCCGATACGAAAGCTTCTTGTGGCCTGCAACTGAGTTTCCAGGACAAAACCTTTTGAACTACTTTAAGTAATTCAATGGTAGATTTCATCTTTTTTTGTTTCCTTCTACTCCGGATACTCCGCTTTCATGGAAGAGAAATAAAGATAGGATCCATGCGTAAGTCGGAGAAGTTTTTGCGAAAAGAGGTCTGATTTTATTTGAATAAAGGCGGTGAGTTTCTAAAGGAACTGCATGTGGTGCTGCGTTAAAATCATCATCAGGGCGAATGACGAAGGGATAATCATCAACTCAGTTGATTGTACTAAATTACCCAGATTTAACTCGATTCTTCTGAATAGAGGGGTGAAGTCCTAAGGAATATTTGGTGCTGCGTCGGTGGGAGAGTATAACAGGATAATTAGGTATTATAAACTGACTTGATAACGGAAATTGGCCTCCGTAAAGAATTTAAAATCTGACGCTTCGAGCGTTTGCCCTTCGAGAGACGTAGAAAGAAAGAACTGACAAGAAAGAAATGACAAAAAGAAATGATGAAGTCGCATCCAAACCAGTCGCTCGACACTTTAATCTCCCCAATCATTCTAAGCGGCATATGGCAGTTTGCGGCTTTTCTCTTTACCTATGGGCAGTACCGATAGCTGCAAAAATCTAGAACAAATATTTCTTTCAAATCGGCAATTTTAATCCCCATGGTATGGCTTTTCATTAAACTAATTTATTCCTGTTCTGTCGTCACCATATTCCCACCAATAGCGTGGCTCCATTTTCTGCATATAAACACATACACAACCCACAATTCCTCCAATCACTTTGACGAATAACTCATGCTCAAAACGTCAGCTTTTAAATTCTTCACGGTGGCCAATTTACGTTATCAACTCGGTTGATAACACTTAATTACCCTGTTGATTCGACTTAATTTTTTAGTAAAACGGATCACTCGAATTCATCAAATTGTAAAAATGTCCTGACTGTGAAACAACTAAAAATCCATCCCAAGTTTATTTAGTCCACTTAAGCTTAATAAAAAACATTGTGGTAGTGCTGATTTAATTAAACTCTTTTACGAGCGCTTTGCAGCTCATTGAATCACAATAATTTCTCTCTTGGGAGATAATTGAATGTTAATCTCGTAAATTAATGCAAATACGTTCCGGTTGTTTCCTTTTAGCTTTTTCATCGTGCTGTTGGCCCTCCATTTTCACACTAAGTTACAGAAGTAAAAGCAGGACTTCGTGTTGCATAGGATAATGCGTGAGGAAAACATAACTAATCTTCCTCATAATGAGTCGAGACAAAGTCAAAACTATTCCCCAAGACACGAAGACTATGAAGATGACTGGTCACCTCGTTTCGTCGCGAAATACGACCTCCCTGGTATGTTCATGGCCTTCGTCATTGTCCTTATCAATTCACTTGTGTTCATCCTTGTAACCAAGAAGCGCTCTCTCAGAACCCCAACGAACTTTTTCCTCATCGGATTAGCAGCCAGTGATCTTCTCAACGGGTTCATCACTTTGCCATTGAGCATTACGTGCAACATTTTTCAAGAGCATGGCCCGTGTTTTGCTTCAGTTTACATCTGGATGTTCACGTCATTTCTGACCCTCTCGCACATTTTAGCGGTGACTGCCGATCGCTTTATAGCGATCATGTGTTCTTTGCGCTATCCGCTGATCATGACCAAGCGACGAAGCTACATCGCCTTGGCCTTCATCTGGCTCAGTTCACTGTTCGTCTCTCTGATGCAGTTATGGTGGCTCAGGCCACAAAGTTATGATCCCCAGGGGGAAGACCAACCGGAAGAGCAAAAAAAGGAGAAAGCTTTTTTCACTGCGTGTGTTGTGTTGTATCTCGTCATGCCAGTTCTTTTCATGGCTGTCGCCTATTTAATCATTTTGCGTGAAGTGCGTCGACAAATTCGCCGAGAGTATCAAAACATTCCTGCGGCAGCGGCCTCAATAGAGTCAGAACAGCGACTATGGAGGCAGCGCAATGGCAAAGCCGCTTTTATCTTTCTTGTGATGTTTTTCACCCATGTTGCATGCTGGTTGCCTTTCTTCCTCATAAAATTCCAAGAAATTTTTAATTCTTTTTATCTACCCGTGTGGACCCAGTACTTATTCGGATATCTTCGGTTCGCGTCCTCGATCCTTAACCCTTGTTTGTACATCTTCGGCAAGCACGACTTTCGGAAAGCATGGGAAATGCCTGGCACGTTAAGCCGAGAGAGAAACTTGGTCATAATGATGAACAGTCAGGTTTAGGCATCTGGAAATCCCGATTGGAGTAATCAGTCTTTCTCATAGCTTGGTTTAGATAGTTGAGTTTGTTTAATCACAGCATATTACCTTTCGTAAAACAATATCTTGATATCATAAAAGATAATACAATAATGAATCACCAGTGAGAATGAGAAAGCTAAATACACTGTACACCAGTGTTAGGTAAGGCTAGCCTACCTTTCCAGTCGTGTATTCTGTACCAATCCATGCCAGAGAAGAGGTTAGCTTAGATAGTCAGATACGTTTTGAATAAAAAACAGTTCTGATCATGCAATTAGTGCGGAAATTATCGCATGTTCAGAGTTCGAGAGCAATTGTCAATAATAATTGAATTAGAAACTTGAAAACGAAATCCTTTGCGATAGGTTCTAATGGACAAACTATGATCAATTTGCTCTATCAAATACTCCTTGTACCGGTATAAGAAAGGTACATTTGTAAGCCAAAAAAATTGCATGGGGCCTGTCCGAACAAGAGGCTAAAGATGTTAGAAGATCGTGTCAAAAGTTAACTCCCCATTTGTAATTGAAAATTGTTTTAAAGGTGATGGGTGACTTAGTCCCTAAGTAGTACAGGCCATTAGCTTGGCAGTAAATAAGTTGCGATTATTCCATGTGGAGACTCAAAAATCAGTATCTACCTTCATGTTGCTGGGTTAGATATTTGCACACAATAAAATTGGAAGGGGAGCGAGAGGTTAGAAAGTTTTTATCAGGGAAATATGTCAAAATAAACCACTAATCTCCCAAGACTTGATAACATAACAATGTATAGCCTTCAGTAGGGAAAGTTAGCTTTTTGATCTTCAGAGTAAAAGGATTACATGACATGATGCGCCCCGTTCCCTATGGAAGTTACATTCATAAGGGGTGGAAGCCGAATTTGAATTGCAAGTATAAATAATTTGGAGAACGAAACTAGATGTATACCAACAAAGATATTAAATGATGAACTCTGTCACTGCATAAGGAAAACTGTGATTCCTGTGATGATTTTGATTCCTTCTTGTGCGGGGAGGCAACTTGAACCGACAGTTTCATTCCTAAGTTACAGTGCAACTCTTTTTCATCGTAAAAAGCTTCCGTACTTTCATCAATATATATGTAGTTGTTATGTTTGACCATCAACAATATAACATCTACATACCAGACCCCTCTCCTTTAAGGTGCTTCTTGAAATATGTTAAACATCTCCAGGGTCTCTTTCTTCCTTTTCCTTTTCCTTTCATTTGCTCTTCTTCCCCTCATGTCTCTGTCACACATTCATGCACATTCCGTCTAAACAATAAGGTAAAAGACACATAAAAACAAGGTGGTCTCTAAAGGTAACACTGTCTCCATCCCTGCAAATATTTCCCCAAGCTCAGTTGGAGTGATAGAACTACTTCACAATCACCGTCTCCTGCTGAAAGATGATATATCTTGCTGGTTTGACCAAACTCCAACACAAGTCACTCTCTACACCGACTTTAAGTTGTAGAATGGGCAAAACCTCTCCCTATTTTGAACACAAATGGATACATTTAAGCCCTTTGATTTCGGACCATAATCTTTCGGCTCACGCACGCTTATTTAGCCCGTACAAAGGAGGGCCTTTTGAACCGCAGCATCTTGGTGTCGGTTCAAGTAATTTTATTTATTATGGGGTTCTGTAATCATAATGTATGTGTCGGATATTTGCACATGAGCAAAAAGAAGCGAAGTTTACTTAGCGACTTCTTTCAAGCTTTATAAAGGACATATAATATTCAGAGTCGGAATAAACAGACAAGAATCAACAGAAAAGAGTTATAATTTCTTTTAATGTTCAAGTCTCGAACGCAGCACGATGTTCTAGAATCTTACTGGCTGAAGCAACCGCATGAATTATTTACAGCGCACGAATCGTGCTCTTTGTGAAGTTTGAAATGGTACGTAATTTAGCTCATCTTTGACTTATGTGTGCATCAACTTCTTCTAAAATCGTATTTCAATAGATTTACATCGCCGTACTTCGTAAGAAACCGTGACGTCGGTAAAGAGTACAAGGCACTGCCTATCAGAGAGGATGTGCAGATGGGGCTTGTTTCTTGTAAAGTCGTGGGAACTTTACAGACCTGGAAAAATCTTCAAAAATCTTAATCTAAGGAATAAGGAAGTGAATCTTACCTCAAAATCGGTCCATATTTTTCGTCTTACTTAACAAGTCGACTTTGACTTTGAACACGGCAAACATAACTCAGCTTTTCAGTAACGGTTAGCAACGAGATTTTCGAAAACGGGTCTCATGTATCACACATAGCAGAGTGACGTATGAATAATTCTAGAAGTATAATTAACTGTGGGTCACGAACTGCAGGCCTGCCTCTTTAATGCTGGAACTGATCTGCATGACTGAAGGACAGTTTTAGACAGAACAACAAGAACAGCAATGGAAAATTGATTTCATATTCATTACCCAGTAATGGCCATGTATTGAGATAAATCCAAAATCAGAAAGTTAAAGAAAGTTAAAGAAAGTTAATGATACATGAACTGATGTTGGCCCTACAAATATCGATAAGACTTCATAAAATTTTAGAAAAGGAAAAAAAACCCTATTAATGCGTGAAAAACATGCGATCTAGGCAATCAACGAAGAGGCGAGTCAATGGAATCACGAGTTAGATTCCCGTACAGTGTAGGTACGGGACTATTACTGCTTCTTAATCCTTAATTATAGAGTTTCATATACTTTACAGGACATGAAAGAATCGCTGAATAAATTTTTCGGCAACCTTTGGTATTACATAGCAATTTTAAAACCATTTTACGGCAAGATAGAGATGATGTAACTCAGTGCTTTTCCAGCATTTGTGGATGGCGAAGAAGCTTTTTGAGCCAAACGAAATTCGTTGCCTGGTCGCACTTTCCCTACTGGTCAAGACTTGATCAAAGTTAACCCAGTATGGGAAAACATTATGCGCTTAAGATTGACAAGTTTGTCAAACACCTGTTTGGTTCTCAGAGATAGGTGACATGGCTGGGAAATCAACACCCTCTGTTAATCTCTCGCACCTCGGCTATTAGTACCTTCCCTTCTAAACTGACAAGTTTTATACCACGGTGTATATCAACTGAATAACCTCGCTTGATTACCTAAAACTGTTCAAAGATTTCTCATCACGTTCGTGTTCAGAAATAAAGCGAAATAATTCAAGTGTCAAGATTTAGTTTCAAGACCAAGCATCTGTTTAAATGAGGTAGATAAACAATCTTCGGAGCAAAATTCATTTAAAGTCCGCTGTTTAGTTTGATGCGCTGTTGCTCTTGTTACAGATTTAAAGTCTGAACTACTTTTTGTCGTTTGCTATATGCCGGTGAAGTTTCAATTTTAAAGTCAGCTCAGCTGATTTTTAGTTGTGACCTGCAAGCGTTTAAAGTTATCTTACTTAATTTATTTATGAGTGCTCTACGAAATCGTATATGTTTCATCTCACACCTCCCACACACCCACACAAATCTCAGAATAGACGACATTAATCAACGCTTCAAGTGAACCCACGCTTCCCTTCCAAGTTTCAGTCCAAGGTGAGTTTTCCTCTAAATTTCTAACGTATCTATACAAAAAAGAATCTTAGCTTATACCATGATTAGGTCTATCAATCGGATAAAATCTGGTTCTTATCAAAATAACTCCAATTGCTTTTTCAGGCTTACAGGTAATGATTTTTGATTTTCAAGAAAGTTTTCAAGTACCTCATGACGTTGCAGGACCCGTTTTCCACGCAAAACTTGAGTTCAAGATGAGCGGGATAAGGTGTGCAAACTTATACAACAAGCTGAAAAAGTAACCTTTCGCACTTACTAATCCTATTTTTATAGTATTTGCTTTTCTTGTTTGTTTTTTGGTACGTTTTTCTTAGAAAAATCAATAAGCGCTCACATAAATGGGCTGAAATCTTTACTCTTACATCATACACCAGTTGCGTCCTAACTACTCAAAAGGGAAGTCAAAGGTACATCTTTTTTGGAAAAAGAAATAATCAACATTCGGAGTCATGAGGTTGCTATTCGCGTTATTCGTTTCGTTGCTGGCAACATTGGCCTATGCTAAATCGGTTGGTGAAGATTCCAACAGCCCCGCTACGATGGTCAAGGAGGAGAAAAATAAAGAACTCAATGACATCCTTAAGGACAATGAAGGTGATGAGGATGACGAACAAGAAGACAAAGAAGAGATGGAAGGAGAGAAGGAAGAGGAAGAAGAAAAAGAAGAAGACGAGGAAGATGGAGAAAAAGAAGAAGACGAAGAAGAAGACGAAGAAGAAGACGAAGGAGAAGAAACAGAAGAAGAAGAAGAAGACGAAGGAGAAGAAGACGAAGGAGAAGAAGAAGAATACGATGCTGACGAGAACGAAAATGATGATGACGAAAATGATTTAATGGACGACGACGATTCTTCTCGAGATGAACTCTCAGATGAATAGATTGGTGGGAATTCTTTTCTTTTTACCTTCAACATGATACGTATTTAATCATGCGAAATATTTTCGTTAAAAGATTTAACAGGTAGCCCCAGACACGACATACCCTGTGATTGTGCGTAGCACTGTAAAAGGTATTAAATGAATGAAGAAACTGTTTGACTTGTTGTTCTTTGATCGGTGAGAACTGTGAATTGTTTGCTCAGTTGTTTCATCGTAATTTCGTAATTTTACGTTCGTCACGGCCTTATACGCTGCCTACAGTTCAATGTTCATCACATTAAGCATTCTAAGCATACTGCTTCATTAGTTTTAATCAAATCCATGTGACCTTCCTTGTTCTTGGTCGGATCCGCTCTGTCGCGAATCTTTTCCATTTAATTTCCGATTCAATTTGTGTCGGGCAAAAGGGACCTTGGGAAAAAGTCCGGTCAACCCTTTTAGCTTCGTATAGTGAATCTTAACGCAAGGGCATAAAGAGCGGATCCTGGAACCAGCAAATAATTTTGGAACCGGTCTTGATCTCAGACTGAGAAAAATAAATTTAAAGGATTGTACAGACTCAAAGAAATCAGATCTCAGAAATGGAGGAAAAAAATTCATCTGAATTCAGTTTGACGAATATCCTCGAGTCTATAGGGGTAATATGGTACTACGCGAGGAGGCTTATTCTGGAGAACTTGTTCCCAGGGTATTTGCTCTCAGACACAACTTGAAACACAGATAGGATGGACAAAACTCATGACAAAATGATAGGCTGATAGGAGGAGGGGATTGTCGTGGATTTGCTGGTTTAGGCCTATGACATATAATTCTTATTTTCGTGTACGTTGACCGGCCATAGCGTAGCTTTATGGACTAAGGAAGGCAAACGTCTTTGAGCATATCTCAGTTGGTAAAGGTTTTGCTTTCAAAAGTCAAATTTCATCATATACGTTTTCTATACGGAATTAAGTAAATATACTCCCAGAGCATTGTTCAGAGAAGACTGAAATTAAATCGGAGGTTCAACTGCCTGAAGAAGGTTTTAAAAAATGGCATAAAAGTGTAAGGAATAGAAAGCTCCTTTGACCCTCTGTAACTGAAATATCATCCGGAAGGATGTTGGAACCAATTTCAAAATACATCTTTTTGGGAGGAAACACCTCTTGTACTTTTACACTTGAATACTGCACGAGGCATTGTAAACATTAAGTGTTAAATTGAATGGAACACGATCTTTGATATATTCTTTTATTGTTTAGTTTCGTCTCGATCTTTTCCAAGTACCCAACGATAAAACCGAACGGGCAGCATCAGAAGTTGAACGAGCCAGTCAAATAGTGGAGCGCAGCAGGGAGAACAACATTTAGCTGAAAAACGAAGAGAGATATTTATTTCAATGAGAAATAAACTGAATCACTTAAAGCATTTTCGAATATTATTTGTTAGGTTATTTCAATTCTAGGAGCTGGCAGCTGATACTATTCAAATGGAAAAACACGCCAATCGCGTAAGTTTGGATTGGAAAAGTGTTCTTGGAATATTGGTGAAAAAGGCCTTTTTCTACCATTTTGAAATAGCTCTTGTTATTTTTTGTTATTATCGTAATCAGCATTGACGTTGACGTTCGCAGCGAAAACCCAGCGGTGTATTTTTCGTCAAACAATGAAGCCTCTTTCAAGACGAGTCTATTGTTTTAAAATATGATCGGTTACGTATTAGCGGAGAACGTACACTTAAGATCTTCTGGCCGTCCAAAAATTCATTTCAATAAATTACTAAAAGATGGCTGTTAAAAGTTTACATTTTTGATAAAACACAATTTCATCATCCGTCCTTTGAACCTTTAATAAACGAGACAAAAAAAAAACAGGCGGTGTCGTTTGCTTTTATTATGGTCGGCATTTAGAATTAGTAATACGGCTTAAAAGCACCGAAAATATCAGTTCAAATTGTCAACAAACCTGGTAACAGAATAATCCAGATAAGACAAGCTATGAACGTGATAATAAACACGAACGGGAACAAGATGAATCCAAAGCAACCGCGAAAACAAGTCAGACACTTAGCACCGAAGCCTTTTTTCTCAGGTTTACACTTGTCAATGGAATCATCTTCTTCACCCGATTCTAAGTCTTTAGATCCTCCCACAAGTTGCGCTGATTCTCCATCTTTGTCTTTTCCTCCAGTTCCCATTTCAGTCTCATTCACAACACGGTATTCAACTTTCAGTTCACAAAATCAACTTAGTGTTCAAAACAAAGCGACGCGTGTCAGTCAGGAAACAGATGTTAGCACGCACATGTTGATTTCCTTCAGAATAATTCTGCAGAAAGAAATTATTCATCCATGATAATGGACGGGAGATATTGACGATGGCAATATTTGCATTGATGAGAATATCTCATTGGATAAGTTTTTGTCAAATTTGTGAGTGTTTTTCACTCAATGGCTGTAATTTCCATTTCCTGGGCACCTATCCCATTGTCCATCCACAAGTTTGACCCCACTTTCTTTTTTCATCGTGGCATCTTTAAACTGCGTTGCTACGCTAGCTAATTTTTTTAAAACTGAGTTTTCGGCGGTATTTCGGTTCCTAAAAGTAAAACGGAGGACGTTCAAATGGAGATATGATTTTATTGAGGTGTTTATCTCCAGTGGGAACCGGAAGGATCGCATTCAGTTTGAATAAAAATTAAAGTACAGAATCAGTGATCAAAGGGTTTAATATTAACACTTAACATGCAAATATGAACTAGACAAGTTTTACATGCAAAGTTCAGCAGGTGTAGTAAGTGCTAATAAGAAAACGTCACATTAATTCTAATCAATGGCATACGACTCACATGACAAGACCACAACCACAAAGAGAAAACTGAAAAAAGAAGCACTTTAGATTACGTTTCTAACACGACAAACTGGGTGCTTGTGGTGTGTAACAAGGATTTACCTCTCTAACATCTCGTTCTCGCCCTAACACGATAGAGGAAAGAAGTTCCCGTTTCGCACTAAACGGAACCCTCTCTGAAATAGTTTACAACATTCTTCAAACTCGTAATACAACCAAATACAACCTACCGAAAGATGTGGTGTGTTTTGTGAGTAATTGCTCTTACTGACCACGATAGAACCGGCTCCTTCGCACTAAATGAGAAAGTTATTTTCTGACCTTGTGCTCTTTTTATCCTAATTTGCGTTTCAGGGAAGGACTGCAACAATGGGGAATATGCAGCAGGAGTCCTGGAAAACTTAATGTTTGCGCGTGCTCACGATAATGAGTCTGGCCCTACAAACGTCAGCTTTCATTACAGTTTTCTAGAGGAATCAGTGGGCGGGACCGTACGGGTCTATGACAATACACTTTACTACGAGACTGAAGCTTAAGCTGCTGAGAGCTGTCTCACACAAGACGAGGTAATATTTATTTCCACGTATGCATAAAATTAACAGGCAAGTATTTAGAAGAACCTATTTATTGTCTTTTCTTTCTTCAGGTGTACATTGTATTTGCGTTAATTCAACCCTGAAAACAAGGGAGCAGCAAGGTGCGATTTATTTCTGGTTAAACTCTTAAATTTATTTGCTATTGTGCTAAGTTTTCGTCTTTGAGGAAGCAGTTGTTTGGAATTCAATATCTTTTCAAACTTGTTAACTTTTTATTCTGATTCTGCTTCAATTACTGAGCACCGTCTTTTGATCACATCACACAATTCTTCCCGTTTTATTAGAGCCTGAAAATGGTAAATATAATCAACGTTTCAGTGAGGCATCTAGAAAAGTGTTAAGAAGCAAAGTATAAAGCAAAAAGCACGAAAGATATTTTCGTAAGAACATTTTCTGACCTCTTCTCTGGAAGCCATGTCTCTAAGAGTTACAACTCCTTGTAGGAGCTCGCTTTCACCAATCACCACACAAAACGGGGCTCCATTTTCTTCACAGAACTGAAACTGATTCAGCAGTTTGGGATTCTTCTTGTAGAGTAATTCAGCCTACGAAAAATGAAGAAACAAGATAAAAAGACAATATGATTAGCTATGAATGAGAGTTCTCATGCAAGCTACTTGAAATACGGGGAAAAAACCACGAACGTTCACAAGGGGGTCAAGAACAAAGCGAGCGATGAAAGATTCAGTCGAGTTCCAACCAAAGCTTGACATATGTTTCAGTCTTGCCTGCCCTTGGAATCTCATCAGTTGGGATTCAAAAATGTGGAAAAAAGGTCATACCAAATGAAGTATAAATGAGCTGACAGCTTTTCTGGATGGTAGACCAGTATCGTTCATTTCACTACCTTTCCACAACAAGTTAGTCGTTGAACTGATTGCAAGAGCACGCGCAGTAGTCAGTTGAAAATCCTTGCTTTTCACCAATTCAAAACACAAAAGTTTAAATATAGAAGTCTTGTTTTCATGCCGATCAAATTACAAAAACTCAGCTCAACAAGGTCTGCCTACTTTAAGATAATTACTATCCTTGAGAAATCTTTACCTTAATTCCTGCCTGCCACAGCTGGTTGACTAGTTTTAATCGTTCAGGCAAGAGATTTTTCTGTCCCGACGCCACTAATACTTGTGTTTTAGTTGTCCGCACTTTACCTGCTGCCTGAAACACAAACCACAAGTTTGAAACACATCACAACTAATGTCAATGGAGCTCCTCAAAAGTAAATTTCCTCAGTCTTCAATAAATTCTTCACGAAAAGAAGAAGCTTCTGTGAAATCTTCAGTGAGTCAGCTATTTAAAATAACTTAGATGTGAGCAAGTCCGCGTTGAAATAACTAAGAAGCGCCTTAATTAATATTTAAATACCATTTTTACCTTAGCTTTAGCCTCAAGAATGGAAAATATTCTTTCTATTCCTATACTAACTCCAACGCAAGGCACCTGAAAAAACAAATCAACAGTAGTTACATGCGGTACGCGGTGAAATGGGACAAAAATTATGGAGCTTCATTTAACATACACCACTTCTTAAGAGAGCACTCAGTTAAGGCTCAAAACTCGTCACTATCCTCAGAGTCGTTGAAAAACTCAATGATTAATTTCGAACTAAGTACTTTAAGTGTGAATGAGCGTAGTTGACAAGTGATAACCACTAAGGATCCGTCACGTGTTATAAGCTACTGTTTCACCTTCCTCCCTTTGGGATCAAACATTCCGACCAGGTTGTCATAGCGACCGCCACCAGCCACCGACCCAACTCCTACAGGCTCACCTAACAAAAAACACAATCATGGAATAAGACTGATTTATGACAACTACAGTGATCACTGTTTCTTGGACAGCATCAGATGACCTTTCAGGACTAAAGAAAATGAATGAAACAGTGTTTTGCACTCTCATTGCTGATAAATAATCTTTGTCTAACATCAGCCCTGATAACATCTTTTCATAGTAAATCTTCTTGCTTTTACAATTTGAACCTCTGATTTGTTATTAATGTTAGTGATTATGTTGTACAGTACATTAAGTTTTACCTTTAGCTGCTTTTCCTAAATCTGGTTGTTTTCCTGTTAATATTGCTTCATATATCACACCAGTGTAATAGTCCAATCCTCTCGCCAGACTCAGATCAAATGACACCTGAAATGGGAATAAATTTTTCTCAAAGAACAAAACATGACCCCTCTCTCTTTTAAGGTGTTCAAGTGAATTCTTGAGAAAATATTTCTTGCCAAGATGAAATGCATGAATATAAACAGGTCTGATACAATAATGACTGCACACAGAGTAGAGGTTGCAGAGACCTATCATAATGACATTTCACTGCTCGTAGAACTAACCTTATCTGTGATGTCAAACAATCCCACAAATTGGAGAAGAAGTTTCATGTCATCTAATGCAGCCTTGGCACTCTTGTTTTCACTGAGAGCTTCATCTGCTGACAGTGATTCTACTAGTTCCATTCCTCCCTTAAGCTTCACATACTCTCCTATCTTGTCTGCCACACTGTGATCCAGTCCCTTCTCTCCCACCATTTCGGCCTTCACCTCTTCCCAAGGAAGCTGTGTGTAGTGAAGAAACAAAACAGTACAGATATTTAAAGGATTTTCAGTTGAGAGGAAGAAAGTGCCACATTTGAGACCAACAATTTTCATCTTTCTCTATTGAATAACCTTTTCACTCATTTTCCACTTAGCATGCTGATAAGGTCTCTGTAGCTCAGTTGATAGAGCAGAGCTTAAAATCCTTTCGAGAAATTCAGAATGTTTGACACTTTCCAACTTTTGAGACACAAGAACAAAATACTCAGCCTTTCGTTATTCATGATTAGCCACATATTTCTATGTATAATAAATCTATTCTTTGCTTGAATTAACCCACCTTGTCCAGTTTATCAACGGCCGAACAAATTGATCGGAACTTCTCCTCAGGCACCCCACAAACAGCAAACATGCCATCAAGCAACTGACGATGATTCACCTGGAACAGTCAGAACAAAAGCACTGAGAAGCTGTTCAATAAAACCCAAGAATGGCCACATAGATTAAATTCTAAATAAAGTTTTCAACAATCAGGCAAATACATCTCTTAGCATTAAAAACTATTAGAAGTGATACCTTGATGGTGAAGTCTCCAAGTTTTAAGTCTGTAAGTATTTCTGATACAATCTTTACACATTCTGCATCAGGAATCATAGCATCATATTGCCCAGCAATGTCAATATCCTGAAGAAATGTAACAGCCATGATGACAAAATTTTTCCTAATAGTGAGTGATTTCTTAGCAGAGCAGGATAAGCTTAGATAAAACTAAAAGTGATAAAGAGAGATAAACATGATGAACAGGAAGAAACCGTTTCACAAAAGGCCAGGCTTTTGCACATTGCAGCTAAGGAAAAGCTGTATCTGATCTCATTGCGGGCAAAGATCATATCTGCCACCTCTAGCTTTCCTGTCTAACTTTGAATAGTGTAACAATTTGATAATTATGATGCTACTTACACATTGATAAAATTCCCTGTAACGTCCTCTTGTCATGGCTGGATTGTCTCTCCGATACACTTTGGCAATATGATATCTTTTCATTTTGTCAATTTTATTCATAGCAACGTATCTTGCAAATGGTACCTGAGAGCTTTATTAAGGAGCCAAAAATATTTACAACAAACCTTAAGTCAATCAAAGTGCTCCATTCTTTTGGAGCCAATTGAAACTCACCCCACTTTCAAATGCCAGCAAAGCAAAATTTAATTATCATCTCCCTTGAAAACAGACTTTCCACAATTCAATTGTAAAAGATACTGTTAAGTCATATCTCAATGATAACAACTCTCCTCCTTGGTCTGCAAGATCATAAATCAGCTTGGAGTCCTCACCATATTTCCCTGTTAAGGTTTCCTATAAGGAAGACAGAATCTATTTAATTCTACAAGTAAAATCACTTCACAATGTAATGTGATCCTTTAAATGATGATAGTTACTCCTGAAAACATATTTATGCAAGAATCAATAGTAACTGACATGTTGACAACCAGGAAAGTCATCATCAGACTTTAATAATGACTTCACTTTGCCATTACCTTGTCTAAAAATAACCTTTTTCCATTCATTAAAGGACATTGTGGACTGCCACTCCCAGTAGCAAATTATTTAATGTTGAAAAATACTGCTCCCATGCAATAGAAAATACAATAACAAACATAAGTTTACAGAACCCAGTTTAAGAGCTTTTAGGCTGGCAAGACCATACATATCTCAATTAAAATGTGAAAAACTTGAAACCAAACCAGATAAACTGGATCTGGGCTGGCGAAGGAGTTTGTCCCCCAGTCACACCAGGCTTAGTGTTGGTCCTATGGTGCACCAGATATTTACAAATTTGGTGTGGGAACATACTCACAAGCTACCCACAAAATATCCAGCAAAAATACACAAGACCATTATGATCAACAGATGTTTTTATCCACACCAAGGAGAAGGATTGCACATAATTATCTAAGCCTAGTGTCAACATAGTCGCAATGCATCACATGCTGCTGAAGGTGTAAAATAATGCAGCTCATGTGTATGTTGGACAATTTCCTGGCTCATACTGCATATCTCCACACCAGAATTAGTTCACTAATATTGTAAAAGTTGAAGGAGAAGTAACCAATTTTCACAGTACACATTAGTTTGTAGTCCAACTGGTGTAGTTTTTACTGTTCAACAAGTACTAGATGAAGTATCTAATATATGCATTAAATTATCATTATCTCATGACTGTAAGTAATCAATTGTGCAATGTAGCTTGATGTTTTACCTGGAAAAGTAACACAGTAAGTAAAGGTTTAACAAATTATGTAAGGATAGTCTGGCTCTCACCACTTAAAAATATATCATTATTCTACTTTGTGAGAAGATTATTATGATACCTTCATTTCAAAGACTGGTGTATCAATCTGTTCAGCTCCATGTCTTTCAAAACAGCCAACAATTGCTTTAAATGCTTCAGCTCTAACAGCCATTTGCGTTGGTGTATAGTCACGAGTTCCCTAAAATTACAGAGACCATTTACACAGCTGACAATAGAAAACAACAACTTGAGCTAATAATTAACACTTAAAAAAGAGTAAAGCTGTCAGAGAAAAGAAATAAAGCAATAGTGATGTTTGAAAGTCTGATTCAGAGTTGATCACAGGTTAACAAACACCACAAAACCCTGCAGTAAAACTTTCATCATTACTCTCCCAGACATTAACAGTCACACATGTCCACAATATGAGAACAGTTGACAATGTCTTGGTTGTCTGGGGAAAAGACTCAACAAGTATAAGCAGTCTTTTAAGCAAAAAAAGACAATAATCTGATGTTTTGCTCAAAGAGCACTAATGTAAGAAAGCACCTCGCCCATTTTGTTATTCTCAGAATTTTTTCATGCTTTTCAACTGCAATATACCTTTGGTGTCTTGAGAACAAATTTCTGACTTCCTTGCTCATTATCAATCTTCTTCTTGAGTTCCACTAATTTAGCTGTTTCTTCCTTAATCTGTTTCCAAAAAGAAAAGGGAATAGCACTTACATCAATATCTGGAAGCTTAAACTGGCTTGGAAAATACACAAGGTGGTTACCTCCATATTATAATGACATTTGTACAAGTTAAATGGAGATTTCATTTCATAATTCTTAGATAGATTTTGTTATTCAATAGTAAACTGCATGCTTTTTAATTTTTATCAACTTTTGTGTATTTTTTACTGGTCACCGACTGATATCAGTCAATCACTATTGATTGATAGACAGGTCTTAAATCAGGTTAAATAAAGTTATTATTATTATTACATCATTCTCCATAAAAACCAGAAGCCTGATTTAAAATGTCAACTATAAACCACTTGTATCATTCTGTGACTGTTAAATAAAAACATACAGACATAGGATCATGAACATATACCTTACAGATCTAATATTTGTAGAAAGCTAAAAATTCTTGAGTGACTGAAATACTTTTGCCAGAGACAAAGTCTTGAAACTGGGTTTGTATAGAGTATCAAACTGTCACTGACCTTGCTGTCTAGACAGTAAGAACAGGAAAAGGAGGAACCTCGCAACAATTTAGGTACAATAAGAATGTTCTTCAACAATTTAAAGGACATCATCACAATGTCTGGAAACAGAAACCAAGTGTCACCAACATTCTTATAGCTTAACATGTTTGGCAAGACCTCCCTTGAAGATAATATCATCTTGTCCACTTCCTGTTTAATCCATTGCCCCATTTTTGTGTACTTCTTAAAATATCTTACAATATAGAGATTTACCAAGGCCTTCAAAAAGAAATTCCAGTTATGCACACCAGCAAGAGTGTACCACAATTATTAGATGGGAAAACCAGCAAAAAACAAAGCTGCTAATAATGCTGCACTTTAAGTTGGGAGCTCTGGGAATGTACAAAATATTTTGTTCTGGGGTTCACATATACATTTATTATGAAAGAATGAATAACTCCCTGTGAGACAAAGAATAATACATAATATAGCTCCTAATATCTTGTTTAACACTAGTGTCAAGAGTTCTCATTGGATGGTGTAATATTACATGAAAGGAAAGACTAAAGGATGAACTTTACTACTCAAGGGCTTACTGAAACAACTAGATTTTCAGTCATAATAAATCACACTCCAGTTTCTCATAAATGACATCACACTTAAAAAGTCAAATAATATCAGCATGCATATGCAAGATTTCAACTAATTATCATATTATAACATGTTATAACAAAGGTGGAACCTGGGCACCAGCATCTGGATACATAAAGTATCAGTACCCTCTAACACATGTACCTTCCCATGGGGCACATGGGATTTTTCATTTATTTTCTCTTCTATGGGAACCCTAATACATATATATATGAAAAGAAAGCCCTGAAACACCCTTCAGATTTAGATGCTATTTGACAAGTGTATAGTATTTTATATGTCATAATTGTGACCCTCCACAGGATTTCAGGAAATAAAGTGAACACACGCACACAGCATGCTCGCACGCTAAAACAAAAGAACTAGCTTTTAACACATTAGCTGCGTGTTAGTTACTTGCCTCATTAACTTCAAAACCATTGTCTTGCTTCGTACGGTAGAAACAAAAGAATGTGTTAAGATCTTGCTTCCACCTTTGCACAACATAACACAGTGACCATGCCAATTTTATAACAAGCCTCTTAAGGCTTAAGTTGCTATCGACTAGTGCAGGAAGCATGTTGTAGGCTCCTGACCGATTTGATACTCAATATCCAGAGCAACTTTGGTCCCTAAATTGCCAAACATAAAGGAATATCTTGACTTGTTGTCCATCATTTATCACTTGTTGTCCATCATTTAAAACTGTCTTTGAGTTCTTTCCTTCATTTTCAAATTCCTTGTTTTCTTAAAACAGCTTGCAAAACATGAGCTGAACGAGCAACGTCCTCTACTCTTGAAATCATGCATGAACTTTTGAAAGTGGCAAGCACAAGCTTTTTAGAATAATAAGAGTGAACCTGGTATAATGCAAAGCAAATGGCTACTTCATTGAGGGTAAGCTGCATTCTTACCATGTCTCTCTGTTCTTCTAGTCTCCAAGTTAGAAAGTCTGAGAATTCATGACTTTCTGATTGCATTTTGAAACTTGAAAATGAATGGCTATGAAGTGTTTGCTAGTTCCTTTGCACGTGCAAACGTTTTGTAGTGTAAATGGCATAACTATGGAAACCAAAAGCAAGTGAATGCACCCACAGGGTCCAGAGGAGTTTGAAACTTAAAGTTTGCAAACTAAATAACTTGTTAATAGCAGAGCTCGCAGAGCGTAGCCCCGTAATTATACAAAATAGTAGTAACCCATTAAGTCGAAAAAATTTGGTTGTACAACCATACAATCATATAACCATACAAGGTACTACTTTTAAAATGAGTGGTCAAATGTACCGCAGGCACACCAATGCCATGGCTTTGTCCAGTAGTCCAGTGGTCAGTGCACTGGGCTCTGAGTTGGACAACCCAGAAAAAAAAATGCGAGCTCTGCTTTTAGGCTTGGCTAAATCTATATGTTATCTTCAACTATGTTAATTTTAATTATCTTCACTTCACAAGGTATATATTGCAGTGCTAAAGGCTAAGAGCTCATAAGATGCAAAGATTGGCATACAGTAAATAATACCCAGCTTTGCTCAGAGAGTTTTGTTTTACGCCGGCTAACTAGCAGTCATTTATTTTAAAAATGCTGATTTGCATAGAGTGATGAACAGCAACCATGCCAATTAGGAGACATGGAGCCGGAAATGTGTTGCTAAAGGATTCACCAAGATTCAGTTCTGGGCTTATCAACTGTGTGAAGCGATAAGGATTTATATTTTACAAGACAAGAATTAAGTTTTAAAAAAATAATTCATGTGTTCAAACTACGCTCCTCTGGACCTTGAGAAACACGTCATGCTCACTGAGTTCCTTGTGAAATTCCTGAGGGAAAGAGCTGTGATTTGCCGTGAATGTTTCCTTTTCTATTACAACTTTCGAATAGAACGGAAGATCTTCATCATTTTCGCTTATATTCTGTAAGTAATATACTTTACAAACACCATTCTCACAATTAAGAAGCTGAAAAACACAAGCATAGTTAGTAGAGTCTCCTCTACTAACTATGACACAAGTCACAAAGTAAGCTGGATTGTACAAGATAAGCTAGAGTGTTACGGAAACGAAGGAACTTAGCGCGTTAAAAACAAAACAAAAACATGAAGCGTGTTGTAGAAACAAAGCTCTACCGCGTTAGCCAAATATGAACAATGGCTACGAACAAGCTTTCCAAACTCAATTGTTTTTATGCGCATAAACGCACGGTAAGTGTATCATGCCATTAGCGTGTGAGCGTGTTATAACTTGCCTTGTGCGTGCGTTCACTTGATTCCCTGAAAACCTATGGAGGGTCACAGCTGTGCAATGCAACTTATTGCATCAAAACTTATGAAGAATATCCACAGGTCAAATAATATCGAGAAAGAAGAGATTTTTCATATTTACACAGAAGAGGACAATTAACTACTTTTCCATTGTCAAATTGATCAGTATACTGTGTGCACAAAAAAATTTCTTCCACATTTTAGCACGTAACCACGTGTATTCTCTTTGATTCATGATACCCAAGGAATCTTTGATCTTTCATTTAGAAGAAGACGAGTTAGTCATACATTTACCTTGTTTTTAACTTCATCTGTCTGTTCTTCAAGTTTTAATTTTCTTATTTGTTCTCCTTGTTCTTTAATTGCTTCCTGAATTTCAGTCCTTGAACCTGGACTCTTTTTACACGCCATTTTTAAATTGATGGTCAGCGGATTCCTAAAACAAAGCTAGTAATCATGTAACACGCATCTATACTCCGAATTTTCCCGAAGTTGTTTGTTTTTTTCCGAGGATTGGTCGGATACATCTTGTTCTGTACACTTTGGTCAATTTTCAGTACTATACGTTTGCAGCAGAGGAGAATTTGCAATCTTGGAAATATTTACCTTGTGGGCACTGAAGGGCTCAATGTTGCTTGATGTTTTGACTTGATATTCCGTCGCTTAGGTGACGTTGCTGTGCCACCCACTAAGCAACCACGACATTAAAACACAATTTCTCTGAAAGGATCTTCTAATTCTTGTAAATGAGCTCGCTGCAACTGATCTAGACTGTGTTGGTTATTTCACTGGAGAATGAAAATGAAGAAATTTGATAACAAGAAGTGGTTTACTGTAAGAAGGGGTTGATTGTGTTTTACCGTAGAGGAGGGTTCCTTTACTCAGTCCATTGAAACAACTGACTCAAGAGCAACTGCAGTACATCGAGAGCACTGAGTGTTGTGATTATTGCCACTAGAGAACAACTTACGCACCTTGGATAGAACTCACAAAACTGTTCTACTTCTGTACAGAGCTTTTTGAACAGATCTTGATTCTTTATTAAAGATCACAAAATTGGTAATTCTCAGACTGATCAGATTTGCGGTGTGGTTTAGGGTTAGCAACAGACAGCGAGTAAACAGAAAATCACAGTATTTTGCTCATTGAGGACCATTTCATTCTAGCCAAAGATCAGTATCACCATCACTACGGAAGTTTTTTTTTCCGTGAAGAAATTATAACACAAGTATATGGTACTTTGTGTGGCAATTGAAAGGACATGGCTGAGTTGGATGGGAACGACAAGGACAGGATATTAGAGGGTGATGGAACTGTCAAAAAGGTTCGGGAGAAGAGGAAAAAGAAGAAGGCAAAAAATTCAAACTCTAATGATCATTTGCCATTTTCAGAGAGGCAAAATAGTGGAATTTTGCGACAGGTTTCAAGTAATAGTAACGGAGAACAACCGAAGCGCGTTCAATTGGCGCTTGAACCAGTGGCAAGTCGAGAACAATTGATTCAAATCCACGAAGAACTAAATAGCCCCCATCCCATATCACGAGCAGAAATCAACCGGGATGAAAAAGATTTGAGGAAACTTGCTTTGCATCTAGCGATGAGTAAATCAGAGGAGGGGAAAAACAGCAAATATCTACATCACGATTATGTCTTAGTTCATAGAACAGGTGATAATCGAAATCTGCACGAGAAACTGAGGAAGAAATTCGAGGCTGAACTTCATCTACAGGGGTTCAGGGTGGAACGAAAATACACTTCAAACAAGACATTTCTGATATTGCATTGTTCATTTGAGAGACTATGTGAAGAAGCGGAACATGTCTCTTTGGAAATGCCTCTTGCTGGGGTAAGCCAGTCCATCTCTATTAAACAGCCATGCTTAATAAGTATGCATTGTTTGGAAAAACGTTAGCCTTCAGCTGATTTTATGATAAGAGAAGGGGAAGTTATCACTTGTAATGAAGGCGGCTAAGATAATTAGATATCAGGTAGAGGAAGACACACAAAACTGAAATAGCAAAGCATCATTCTATAGTCTTGATTATTATTCAAAATTAAGGATGCTGCAAGTTATTAAATTTTTATCTCTTGTTTGCAGTATGTTGTTCCAGAGACATCAAGAAACAGTTTATGGAAACAATTTTGGGATAATTTTAAAACTGATGATGAAGGTATTTTTGTAACTGATTATTTAAAATTAAGGATGCCTGGTGATATTATGAATTTTTTCTGCATCTGAAAAATACTTTAAATTGAGAGATTAAATTGAAAATCAGTTTGCTTCCACTTACATTGTGATTAAAATGATGCTTGTGTCTTTCTTGCAGTTGATTTTGTCAGTGCACCATTCTGTGTTTCAAAATCTCAAATTTATGAGGGAGTAGAAAATCCAGACACATTCTTCAGACCAGCTCTTAGATCACTTTTGGTGGGTAGAAATCATCAATGCATACTTTGTAGAGTGACATTAAATTTCAAGTAATGTTTCAATTAATTTTATAAATTTATTCAATTGTATAGGTTCACCATATTTTAACAGATTTAGATGTCAGAGACAAAGAAAGCAAACGTCTTGGTCAGAATGCACAAGGTCAACCTTTATATTTTGTTCTCACATTTATTAGAAGATCCAGTGAAAATTTTATAAGCTGAAATCTGATTGATGATCCTCTTGATTGTTGTTATTCTTTATGCTGTGTTTATGATGGCCCCTCAAGCGTAAGAAACAATCTATCAATGGGCAATCAAACTGTTATTAGGTTATCTAGCTAGTTACATTGCATTTGATATTTTTTGCTGTGTTCATTTCACATCTAAAATCATTCAGTGGTTGCTCAAATTGAAATCATTAGTGACAAGTGTTCTAGATGTTACAAAAAGGAAGATGAGGATGTAATTGCTTTGGGGAAAACTGTTCTATTTGCCTCAGATATATGCACTGTGCATATGGACTGTGCACTGTGTCTGTGCTTATGGTTCATGGTCTGTTTTTAGGTCTTGGGTACATGCTCATGGAAGAAGCATACACTGATGCATTCATTCTACATGAAAAGTCTGAATATGATTCTGAGTTTCCACTGGCTGATGCTGGTGATGATCATAGTTTTCCACATGGTCAGGATATTGCTGATCCTCGCAAAGCCCTGCATGACACATGGCTCAAGCATTTCAGATATCAGCCTCTCTGGAAAATAAGGAATTATTTTGGAGAAAAAATCGCCCTCTATTTTGGCTGGCTTGGTGAGTGACCTGTAGAAAAGTTTTGGGTGAATTTTGCAGAACCCTTAAATTTAATGGCACAGTGAATAACCTGATTATAAATACATTAATAATTTTGTCTTATCTTTTAATTTTTTTTTTACATTTCAGGTTTGCTTACCATGTCACTTGTCATACCCATGCTACTGGGGTTGGCCATTTTTCTTTGGGGACTTAGTGTTGCGTAAGTAATTTTCCAAGTTGATCATTAATAAAAACAGTTTCATATGTTAGGTTCTTGTGTTTTATCCAAGCACCATAAGGGATGATATAACAAGTATCAAATGGTACTAATGCACACTTTGCCATAATGAGATTGCAAAAAGTTGTGTTAATACAACAATTCCTTTTGTGTCCTTGAAGTAAGCTGTAAACTGAACATGTGTTTATTTCCGCCATGAATAAACTACTTTGTGGGGAATATACAGTGTAAAACACACCCACAATTCTTGCTTAAGGAGGCAGTTTTCAGCAGTGACTTTTATTTCAATTTTGTTTTGTGGACTTCTAACCTTGTGCAGCATGCTTACTTAACATGTATGTTTTATAATTCCATTCTTTCTAAAGACCCGTCATGTCCATGTAATCACAGAACTGTACTGCATGTATGGATTATACATTTATCTGCAACTTTGATTCCTTGAGAGTGAGATGTAATCCTAATTATTCTCTCTTTGTGTTCCAATATTCTAGGTACATGAATGACTAACATATGAAAAATATCTTCATTTGTCCCACCTGATTGATGATCCTTATAAATTATGGTTACAAAATTTGACCAGTTGTGAAGGTTCTTTCCAAATCTTCTTTCCCTTGCAGGAAGAAAATTATTTCTGATAGCTGTTTACCTTGACATATTGTCTTCATGGCACATGGTCTCCCCTGTTTTACCCAAAATATACTGCTTTCTTTGCCTTGCAATCTGTTGATCTCTTCCTTACTGTGTGTGCATGGCTTTGTTTAAGAGTCTTTGACTTACTCATGGTCAAACTTGAGCTGGATAGACCTTTCTTCTTCTTTCCCTCAACTAGCACTCTTCAACTCTTTAGAGATGTACATATAACAGAATTTGGTAGGTGAGTTGTTTACTGGGGTCACCTGTTTGTTTCTTTGTAGTGGATTGACATTTTCTTTTACCATGTTATTCTTCTCACCTCAAGTTAACTCATTCTTTTCTTTTGTTTTAAAGAGTTGACTTGATCTCAGAAAATCCTTTCTCAATTGTCTTTGTCAATTGTTACACTAAAGTTTAAGTTCTTAATTGAACTTTTACAGATGTTTGTTCATGCATTGTCACTGCCTCATACTCCTTACATAGTATATCTTTCATTCTTTACATGTTATAATTGTCAAAAAGTCCTTAATAAGTACTCTTATCTGTGCTAGTGGCAGACTTTTCAACAACTTCAAAGGAATTCATTCATAGTCTCAACCCTCTAACCTCTCCTAATACTGTTAACCATTGCTCTAATACTGTTAACCATTGCTCTAATAATGTTAACAATTGCTCCAAAGTTCAAACCATTCACTGTTCATTATTAATCAACCATTTGAGGAAATTCTCCAATCACTAAATGCCTAAGTCTCTTACAGTTTTGAGACTTCAAACAGCATTGGCTATTAGTGCTTTTCTTCGCTCATATTGATGTAAACAAAGTTTTTTACACTGATTGATCTTGAGATATTTATGACATTCTCAATGGCTTTTTGGAAAATTTTCAAGCAAATTTGCTGAAGTCAGAAATTCCTTCTATTGGTCTTCCCTCTTAAGTCTATTTGGTTAATTTTAAATGGTGTTTATTCAAATGTGGCAACCCTTCTCTCCGTTTATCCTGTATGGAAAACTATTTTGGCTTTGGTCAGGAGGACATGCTGGGTAACAAATTGTGTAAATTAGTTTAATCAGAAGATGATCTACATGTTTCTTTATCTCTTTGTTATAGAATAAGAGATAATCCTTTAGGTGAGAAGGATGAGAATACAACATCTACCTCCACCTTAACAGCTTGGGCAAAGAATGCATTTGACAATGATGCTACACCCTTCTTTGCGTTAATAATATGCTTGTGGGGTAAGTTTCATTTTGAAACCATAATTGTAAGATAGACTTGGTTTATTTAAGTGTCAATGTTTTTAGCATCTACATGTAGGTGCCAGCTGGACATATCACAGGTAAGTAAATAAATCTCGTACAGCTATAAACGCAACGCAAACCTGATTTCTTTTTATAGAGCATTAAAGGGGTCGAAGTTGAGTCCGCAGCCATCAAGAAATAAATCAAACTGGGTGTCAGATTGGAAGTTTTGATGACCAAATTTCAATCCGGCACCCTAAAACCTGACACTTTGTTTGTTACTTTGTTTTTGTCTGTAAATTGTCGTATCAGTTCTGTGTTCATAGGCATGTTTCTCTTTGGCAGGTACATTCTTTTTGGAGCGATGGAAACGAACAAATGCTAGACTATCATACCAATGGGATGTTGATACGTTCGAAGAACAGGTACCCTGTATATGGAACAAGTTTTGTTCTTCCTTTCCACTGTGAACATCTTCTAACACCGTCATTATGTAATGTTTTCAGGAGCCAAATCGCCCACAGTATTATGGAACTGTCATTAAGAAGGTAAGATTTTCGCACATCTTCGTTGGGAAATTATTGCACCATGAAATTATTACGTCATGAACTCTTCTTTAATGGTAAATTTGTATGTGTTGTTGTTGTTTTTTTTCAGGACCCAGTAACAGGAGAAGATATCTCAGTTTATCCAGCTTTAAGAAGATTTTTCAAGATGATGGGCTCATTTGGGGTCATGCTCTTTATGGTTCGTTTATGTTTTCTTCGTCTTTAATTTTGAGTGGATGTTCATTACACTTGAAGTACATGGACATTTTTCGCCCCATATCCTGTGAATGATCTGAGTGACTTTTAACAGTGTGTTTCAAAAGTAATTTCACCCAGAAACTACACCACAAAGACCTAATAGCAATTATGAAAGTTTAGACATCAATAATCTTCTTGTTCATCTGTTAACGCGAGAGCTTTGTTTGATTCCCTTTTCAGATTTGTTTGGTGTTGGCAAGTGTCGTCGCTGTGATTATTTATCGGGTCATTGCCAGAGTAGATTTGTTCCAAAGCAGAGGAGAAGCAGGCCAGCTGATAGCAAGCGTTACCTCAACATTCCTCAATACTGTTTCTATCATGATCATGGGCAAGGTTTGTATATTACAGATAAATTATCTGTGTAATTTCCTACAGTTTTGTAGCTGAGTGCACGTGTCGCATGGTAAGGGTGAGTGGTAATAGCAAAATCTTCTTCGTGTTTATTTCAGATTTATCAGAAGTTAGCAGTCTACCTTACGGACTGGGGTGAGTCTGATTTCAGTTAATACGAATGAATTCTTCAAATTCGACCGTAACTTTGTGATTCTGTAAATAAAACTTCTCTGTTTCTTTTCTTTATAGAAAATCACCGGACTCAGACTTCATATGAAGATGCGCTTATCTTAAAGTTGTTTGGATTTCAGTTCGTGAATTCATACACATCGTTGTTCTACATAGCTTTCTTTCGTCAGGTACAGCTTTGAATGGAACTTAAACACCACATGTCATTATTCGTTCCTTTACTATCGTAAAGGGCCACACTTAATCTTTCTTATGTCATCAATTGTTTACCCAGGGTACCAAGGAAAGTGGCGTGATTGGTAAAGGGGAAAACTACAGTGACGAGTGCGGAGAAAACAACGACTGTATGAGTCTTTTATCGCTACAAGTCGCCATGTTAATGATCATGAAACCTCTTCCCAAACTCTTCAGTGATGTCATTAAACCGTGAGTATGATCATTGCTAAAATTTGTATCTATACTGAACATCTTTGTTGTTGAGAAGTCGATGAAAACGCGAGTGACCAAGTCGCGATTGGTTTTAATTTTGCATCTGATTAATTTAGTGAAATTTTTAGAGACCAAACTGTAGAGCGAGATAAAATAAAACCCGTGTAATCCCAGAATACTTTCGACGTCCTCAATGTCAAACTGCTGGTAACCTGCTAACTTTGCCTCTGTAGTTGGTTGGTGAGCCTTTGGAGGAGAAAATGCTGTAGCAACAGAGTTTCAGTAAGCGGTGAAATCACATTCAGTGTAGAAGATTACTTAGAGAGGGAGAGAAATAAAGCTGAACTTGGAGATTTTACACTGTCTGAATACAACGAGAAAGGTACGTCCAGTCTAGAACTCTGTTGTCTTATGTACTGCCATAGAATTATTTGCAAGTGAATTGGTTTCATATTCACTAAGAAACCATGGCACATTTCCTATACGTACTCACTGAATAGTTTTAATGTAACAAATATCAACATTTATCCTGTTGAACCACCTTATTCTATCTGTCGAATTCAGTTTTCTCACGGTAATTATCGTTACTTTTATCTTCACAGTGCTACAGTACGGATTCCTCATGGTAAGGATCAAGACTCCTTTGTGAAATATCAGCTAAAGTTTTTAAATTTTTTATTTGTGTAAATATTAATTTCAACTGCGTCATCCTTTAAGCTTTTTGCAGCAGCGTTTCCGCTGGCCCCACTGATTGCACTGTTGACCAATGCCATCGACATGAAAGTGGACGCCAGGAGGTTGCTATGGACGAACAGGCGGCCAGTAGCCTTCAGGGCAGAAGACATAGGTTAGTGTAGTAGCAATCTTCCTGACTGGTTTTATACCTTTCCGTTTTCTGTGCTCTCCACTAGTTACACATTCTTTGGCTTGTTTTTTTGTTTTTTTTTTTCCGTGCCAAGACTAGTTCGTACTGATAGTTTCCGTGTGCTTTACACCGGTTACGAGTATTGGTTTCAGCTTATAGCTCATCTGAGATTTGTTCTGAAATTACAACAAAACAAATCGCTTATTTTAGGACCTGTGAATTCTCTGCAACATTTCCTTTTGTCTCTCCACAAGGCACGTGGTACAGCATTCTAGAATTTCTGAACGTGGCTGGCGTGGTTACCAACTCGTTCTTGGTGGCATTTACGTCATCGTACGGTCGATCATGGGAAGGCGAGCCGTCCAAGACCAACACAACTGAAACCATATTCAACAGCACAACAAACACAACCGAACAGGTTATCATCGTCACTGAACATGTTACAGGACTAAGCAGGCTTTGGCTTATAATTGGATTTGAGGTACGACTATCATCTCTCTTCTTTTTTTGGTACCGGAGTTAATTGGAGCAAGGTACTGATACGCTTAAACTACAAGGCTTAGCTGTGTTGAAAATTCTCACTTGAATAATTTAATTCTCTTTTCAGCATATAGTGTTTACAATTAAGTTCCTGATTGCCTACATTATACCCGACGTACCTGCCGATGTTAAGATGGCTCTGTCAAAGGTAATAGCTTTATAGTGACATAGTTAAGGGTGCAATGTCCCAAAGTTTTGATTTGTATGAAAATAGTATGAAACCCTCAAGATATGAGTTTTTAAAGGAGATGGGCACCAATCAGATGAGAACAACCCACAAAGAATGATGCTTAGGAATGGAAAAGAAGAAATAATACTTGCATTAGTGAAATTTGTGAATTTGAAAAATCGGGTTAAATTTTCTGGGGGTGAAAACCGCAACATAGTTACTTCATTGCCTCTAACTTCTACTACGCTTCTTCGGTGTGCTTTGTGAAAAAAAGTTCTACGTTGATAATCATTTTGTATGATGACTAAATTATCTACTCAATTTTTCACAGGAAAAGTATCACGTGACCAACATTCTTGCTAAGGCAGGTATGCGCAAAGGGCCTGGTAACAAGCTGGCAGAATCTTTTTCGTCATACAGAAGTCGCGGGGCTGAAAGTGAACATACTTCATCACCTAACTCCACTGAAGTTCACATGACCGCCAGTGGAAAAAGACTTGAAAAGAATACCGCTGACAACGGAAAAGTGGAAGTGGTTGTGGAAAGGTCACCGGTGGAGGGTGGTATGGAGAGAAATTTCTCCTCCCCAAGATCCAACCGTCTGAAACCATTACCTACAAACTATACGTCTAAACATGCAATTAGAACGTGATTCATGGCGGGGGTGGGGAGAAATAAGAAACAAGTTTAAACTCCACGTTAGGTCGTGAATCTAAATGGAGAGGAAAGAAGAAACACAACCAAACACGCCTTTTGAAAACAAATACATGAGGAGAGAGAAGTAAAGAGCCAAGAGTTCGATACTGTACAAGACATTGGGTGCTCCGAGAAGTAAATATATTGTATAAAATGATGAACAATTGCTCTAGTTATATTTATACAAAAGTTTCAAAAGGTCTAGGGAGGTTACCTTCCGCGCAGGAATGTTACCGAACCTTATCGTAAGCTTATTTTCGTCCAGTTCAGTTTTTAAGTGGGACGGAAGCCTATTTATTTTGTTTTAGAGTATTACAGGAAAATTTTACCGTCTCAATGATTAGAAAATAGGTTAGCTTTTAAAGTTTCATACGTACGTTCATAGAACAACCACACAATTATCGTTGTGCGTAACTAAGATATTTATATTCACTCTCTCGTGGTAACATTAGGCTGGCAATAAGGAAGTAAGTAACTTTATTTGTGTCAAACTTGAAGTAGAAGAGGCGAAGAAAAGAATCCCTTAACTATCAAGGGACACAAAGCACAAGGTATATCATTCCTTATACTACAGCATCAGTAGGGTTTAACTTCCTCTAACAAGGTTGATTAACATGGTATGTTGCTGAATTAGAATCTACATTCCTCATTTGGTTGTCTCTCCTTTTTGCTTCACGTACAGTTTTTCTTTTCATGAATGATTGACTTTAGCCGCTAGCTTTAAACTTTCATCTCATGGAAAGACTCGAACCGAAAATGATTTTTCATCCCCCTCTTCTCAGACGGAGCGCATGCGTACCGACCTGCAACTTCATCCACGGTGAGTATGACGCCCTTGCCGCGTGATCCGAGGCACAAGGATGGTTCTTCATTTAAAACTAGATAATGCGTTTTAGGGTCAGTGATTTCTGTCGTTCCCGGCTTTTCGCGGGAGTCTACGAAGCCAGGAACGAGAGTATGGTGAGTTTCAGCCTCACGCCACGAGAAACATATCACCACTATTTGGCAAGCGACATGTTTTGACTCACCTATGAAGACAAACTCGGATATTATGTCTCGCGCCATTTCGGACAGTGAACTTGAACAGCTTGTCTTCTTTCTAAGTGAATTAGTCTACTCTTCAAATGATTGCACGAAAACTACATGCAGGATGAGCTTCGCTGGAAAGTCTCTTCACTGATTCAAAGTAAAACAGCCAATTTTCAATCCAAACTCAGGGCGTCGATGTACAAATACAATTAGCAAATGTTCTTCAGGTCTCTTTGATCAAACGGAGCCCATTATTTCACTCAACTTCACCTATCACACCGGGTGATAAAAAAACACCAGTGGAACTGATTATAGATAAAAAGATGAAAGTCACTTACTCTCACTATCACCAAGTGTACAAAGCAGAGTGTTATTGGTAAAACGCTCTACTGAACAATTTTAAGGCATAAAATAAACATCTTATTCATAGTTGTACATATTAACACCAACTTTTTTTTTTATCTTGTTACATTGATACATTCCGCTCTCACCAATTTCCCTCCAATTACGTAGTAGAGATTTAAACCGTCACTTGCGTTACGTTGCATTTTCTTTTATAAAAAGTTTTCCTTCTCCGTTCTCTACGGCAAAGTAAGGAGTAATTATAAAAACGAGTCTTGCCCTCTAAGGCATGACCGCCAAAGTTCGGGAGTAATGTTGCTCTTGTTTTATATTTAAATTGGAGAACCAGCTCCGTACTCAGTAATAAGTTGTGTGTAAACCGATGTTTGTTTCAAACTTTCCAAAGAAGACGACAAAAAATGTTACAACGGTTTTTTTTGTCTCTATGTCTTGAAATTTTGAGATGCTTTGCCGCACAAAGCTTGCTCCTCCTTCAAGTTCTTACATCTATATCAATTTGACGATGTAACTGGCCAATGATCAACCACTGCACTCACCACACTTATTTTTTAACTCAGGTACCATTAGCCGTTCTTCTAAAAAATTAAATTCTAGAAAGTTTTCAAGGCTTCAAAATCAGGTACGGCTTAGAAAGATTTTCGACTTTCCTTTTATAGTACCAGACAAACACTCTAGTCGGGTAACCAAGATTAGGTTACATTTTATTGGAGGGGCTGAATTCTGTAAGTGCTTTACATCGCGGAAGAGGCTGTAGTGTAGTAGAGTTCGTGACCTTTCATATTCACGTGTTCAACACGTGACATTAGGGAGGTAAAGGTAAGTCATTGGATCGAGGCTGACCTATTGCGTATTGTTGTAGTATTTCTGGTGCAGCGTTATAAGCAGTTGGAATATGTAACACAATTATTTTCTCCTTATCGAGCTCAAAATGCACGAAATCTTCTCTGTTTAGAAGGGTAGGATCGTCACCCACACCAGAATTCATATCGGTCGTTTGTGTCGTCGATAAATACAAGGAGTCTGAAGAACGTGAATCAGTCTGAGTGAAATCTTGTTTTCTGCATTCATTGGATGTTTTCCGGTAATGTGACAAAGCGTGGCTGTCACTTTCACACACGTTATTTCCCCTCTCCCAATCTTTCTTTACGTCCTCTAGTGTTTTAAGCTTGGCGCATGATCGACCATCCGTATCATCAATAGTTGTCACTTCTTTTAAAGGGATTATGTTGTCATCTTGGCGTTTGTGTACTTCACAACTCTTAGCAGTTAATTCGCCTTGTTTTGTGCTACTGTTGTCCTCCACACAACTTTCTGATGTCACAGTTCTGGCCGTTGTTCCACCTTTCGCTTGCGAGTCTTCTGGTTTGCCGAAAGGTATAGTGATTTCATCAAGAACGGATGCAAGATGCTTTAGATTCAAAATTGGTCTCCCGTTAACTTTAAAAAGCTGCAAATTTGCCATTGTCTCGTAGCCTGTTGTTAGCTCCGATGCGAGAACCTGAAAATAATCATAAAATAAACAGTATGAGGGCAAGCACTTTTTTGATGTAGCTCAGTGGTGGGAGGACTCAAATATGGAGAAAACAAATGACAGAGTGCAATAAATTCTGTGCTCGGATTGAATTATCTAACTAAATTAGAGCTTGAAGTTCCCATTCTATTTCCAAAACTTTGATTTGATGTTCAATAAACTGTCGAGTTTGCGCCACCCTCCTTACCAAGAAGATGCAAAACTCGACCCAATCGAAAAATTGGTCTCTTGAGTTCTACCGCGCCTCAGGCAGTTTCCTTGATTAAAGTTAGAGTCCTACCTGGCTCCCTATTCTCGTTCTTCTTATTCTTATTCACCGTTGTAATTTCTTTGATTCTGGATTTACAATACTCATTTAAAAGGAGCGCCTTCTTTCATCAGTTTCATACAAAACCAAAACATAAAGATCTTCACGGATTTAGAGATCTGCGTCCTAACTGACCCTTAAAAAAAAAAACGCTCTGGGTCCCATGACGTCGTCTTTCAAGCCAAAAAGGCGTGAAAATCAAGTGACCTCCCTGTTTTAGTAAAATAAAGTTACCTCTTTACTTACCTGACTGAGCAAAATGACTTCCTGTCCCGTTTGATTCAAAATACCGTATAGAACACGATCACAGAGCCTTATGGGTGCCTTTCGTGCCCAGTCTTTTCCGTACTGATGTTGCATGTAGGGCTGGGAGAGAGACACAAACACGAGGCCAGCGTACACGAGGTAACTACGGGCAGAAATGATAGTGAGAGTTTAATAGCGAAACCAGTTCTCCAGTACTCATTTATACCCCCGCTTGAGAGAGGCGCTGTTAGAGGAAAGTGTCTTGACCAAGAACACAACAGAATGTCTCAGTCAGGGCTCAAACCCAGGCCTAAATACAGAGTTCAGTGAACTTATCACCGGGCGATTTCAATGTACCCTGACACAGAAAGATAAGTTAAGCTTGTAAGGAAAGCTGAAATTCCTATTAATTACCTTGGTCTTTTGTCATACAGCTGGGTGGGTACAAGTGATGTGATGAGATCTAATGTCACTTCAACCTTCAACACTTGGCCTTGTCTTAGAATTTTCAGTTTGCAGATATCACCAATAAACATCTGTGACAATTTGTAGTCAAACAGAATACGCTCATTACCGCGAAAATGAACCTAAACAAAAACAACACCACACAAAAACGTGATTAGCCCAACTGATAAAAACACCCAGGTGTTGCTGTGAGATAAAAACTAACAAACAGTGGAGATTTTATTTCAGTTATTTCAAAATTGATGTTTAGGTCATAACAAGGCCTAATGCTGGTAGAACATGAAAACATGGATATATCTGACTCAGCAGAACCCACCTAAGGGATTTACAATAACTTCTCTTTAGATTATGAATGTCGTATTAAGCTAACAGATGGTGAGGATGAATGAATTAAGCAGATAGCGGGTAGTATTGTGATAAGTAATGTACCACCAAATTCTCCCAACTAATTGACAAGGAATTGTGTAGCACATTAATAGGAGAATTCATAATCAGATCTTGAGTATGAAGGATCAAATCAAAATAAACCTTCTATGTTATAGCCTTGGTCCACTGGCTTTAGGAGAGGAAAATAAAAATTAATAAATAGAAGCATAAACCCTTATTGCTTGCATTGGCCATGTAGGGTTGAATTTAACCACAATTGCTTTCAACTTGGATTGATTCTGGGCCTCATAAGATCCATAAACTATAAACCCTCAAGATATTAAAATCCTGTCAAGAGGCTGGCAAATGTGTTCCAAGACAGGCCTACATGGTGCTGGTTTTCTCTTCTATACACTTATCTTGTTTTTTGGGCAATACATTGTTGATTATTACAGGATCTCAATAAAAGAATCTCATAAGTTATGACAAGTTACTCACTGTTCCATTGTCTGCAATCACTTCGTCATTCACTGCCATAAGGACATCTCCTCGTTTCAGCACACTGCTGCAGCTGAACAAAGGAAGGACTTTTGTAACAAGGACCCCTGTCTGTTCTGCCGACAGCTGAAAGTAATTCCGCATGTGCTCACTTTCAATTGGCTGCCATTTGATTCCCAGTCGACAGAAACCATTGTATGTGTTGCTTTTCTCAATATCTCCCAAGAAATGTTTTATTACTGTTACCTGAAAAGTTGTTATTTGTCATAAATTGAGTTTTAAATGCAACATGTTCTTTACACATTCTATTCACCACAAGGAACAAAGTAATTTGAGTAAATTAGATAGTATGAATGACTTACAGGTATAATATATCCAATGTTTTCAGCATTATCCAGTGTCTCAAAAGCAATTCCAATCACTCTGTCATCCTGAAGGGCAGGCCCACCACTGTTACCACTGTTTATTGCTGCATCAATCTGTCCATAGTAACAAACAACCTTAGATAACTCTTGCATCAGAAATAAGAGGATCTTATTCAAATATTAATTTTCTAATACTATAAAGTCTAGGGGGCCTTATGAAATGTCTAAAGGTTAAATGATGGTCACATATAGAGAGGCCCACTGACTGATCGTTGAGATAGTTAAGTTGAATTCTTAAATTCTTCAATTTTCAAACTTCTGGAAGGAACTGAGCAAGATTACTGGGACTAAAGGCTTATCAAATAGTTCAAAAATCATGAAGAGGCAAACACATTTATACCCCATCACATAATCAACATTTAATATACACAGTTCTAACCTGTATAGCCAAAAGTTCCACTGCAGAGTGTGCATAACGCTGAATTTCCACTCTAGAGACAACTCCTCGTGTGACACTAATATTATCTCCACCAGTTGGAAAACCAACACAAACCACATCTTCTTCAAGTGCAGGTATCTCACCAAATTCCAGGGGGCACAGGTCCTCCCAGAAGGTTTCATCTGTTACACCCAGCTTTAAGAAAATAAAAGATTGAATGGACTGTTTACAATGAAACAGTTTTAATGCCTTGTAATATGTCTACTTACATGTCCCATGTCATTACCTGAAGTTCTATAGTTTATATCGGAAGATCTAAAAGTAGTTACAAATAGTTACCATGGCAATGTCACACTCATGGCCAACATGAATCACATGAGCATTGTATTTCTTAGCATCTCCATGCTTACGAACTCGCACCTGAAAAATAAAGGAAGCTAACTGTTAAAAATTAAAGAAGCTGTTGTAACATGAATGCTGAATACCAGGGATACAAAAGAATCCTGAAATGCTTCCTTTCCACTCAGCAGAGAACCAGAATTGGTCATGAAGGTCAGAGCCACCAGACTACAAAGTTGCTGCAGTGCCTCATTCCTGATAAGACATTCCCTACTTTCATTGGAAGTTTAAATTTTCAGAACAAAAGTAATTTAATGTATTTGTTTACTTACTGACTTCTGATAAGCTACTACATGTCCATTGGTGAGAATTCTCCTGCCAGAAATCACAAACCCTGATCCAAAAACCTGCTGCTGCCGCTTCATCTGCCAGGGCATGCTATAGTTTGGAGTTGAAATCTGAACAAACAGTTTCACCACTGATTTCAACACCTGAGGAAAATGCATGCCACAAGAAGAAACAACTAATTAATAATACAGAGTTATGATTCCAGTTGCCAACTGTCACCTATTCAGCATATAGTATATGCAAAGAATATACAGGTACATATGCAAAAAAAATCCCTCTGGCATTAAGAGGGATTTTTTTGCATATGAAAATGTAGGGTATGATTTGGGAGGTGTTACGTCATAGAATAGAGTAGCCTTGCCCATGTATTTTTTTAGTGTGAATAAATAACTAAATGAAACACTCTAATCCCTAGTAGTTCCTCTACAGGGTACATATATTACAGGTGATGTTAACCTTGTACTTCCTGCTACAAAAATAAGGTCTCATTTGGGCCGTGTATTGTAATGAACAAGATAAAGCCACGATCATAACTGCAATCAATTTAAAATCTGTGAAAAGACATACAATGTGCAAAAATAGCTTATTATAGAGATCGATTCATTTGAGTTATTCTCAAATTCTTGTTTTGATGGAAGGACAATAAAATTGTTTAAAATTTATGAACTCATTAGATCTTTATTCGATTTAGAGATCATGGAGGAGTTAGTTTTAATTCAGTCAAGGAATTTTAACATCAATCAACGCAAAACAGTACTAACTGAGACACATTGTTCATATGCTGCGATTTAGAATATTATGCTTTCCAGAACGAAATTAAACACTTGAAAAAAGCGATCATTTTCGACGACTCGAACACAACACATATATACGTAAATTTTTGGCAACTTTTTCACTCTTTTCATGACATTCTTACTAGCATCAAAACAAATTGGGTGGCGCAACAAACCTTTTCGCTGGTCTTCAAGTGTGAGCCAAAATGCTTATCACCCATCTTGTCGTTAGAATATTCAAGCGGTCACCCGATCGAGAAGAATTTCAAGTCTTAAAACGTCAGAGTTGACCGACAAGATCGAAACATTCCAAGCTCCCCCCTGCGCAAGGAATTGTGGTATATAGTACCAGTCTCCTCTCAGTAATCACAACAGGTCAATCTCACCTAATACCGTTCGCTACATTCTGCGGAGCTCCAGAAAGTTGTTTTAACAAGGGATCTCCCTACAACTGATTACATTTAAAGAGAATAACATTATAAGCTGAAGTAATTGAGAAATACCACGGATGAGTGGGTCAAAGAGAAACAAGGCGCCTTGGCTGATGGACAAGCGACGGTGGAAAGGGAGCTTAAACTCAGTAACAGTTGACGAATGGCAACAGGTCAGGTTTAATTGCAGTTCTAATTAAACCCTTTACGACTGGGACTTTCAAGCAACCTTAGCCATGTGATCAGAGAAAAGATGAGATGAAAGCTTCGTTGTCTACAGCCTCTGTTATGTTAAGGTATAAGTCTTATAGTTGTCTCTTGTTTGAATATTTTGTCTCCTTCAAAGTCCTCCTTTATTAGCATCCTACCCGCATTTTTCGTCGAATTATTTTGTTGTTAGAAACCAGAACATTTCAATTGACTGTCAAATGAAATCCAGGATTGCACTGGTTTCCCTTCACAGCGGTCTGTGATTGGTCTAATAGATTCGCGCCTCTCCACCAATCAAATGCAAAACCAAAACCAATCGCGATCTGGTCATTTGCGTTTTTCCCGCAATTCGAGCAGTTTGCTCGTTTCTACGTTTAATTCTCATTGACTGCTTGATACATTTTCCTTCAGTCCGATTGGTCATTATTACTTCGTTTGGTCTTACGACACTTATTGGTAAATGAAATGCGCTCCATCATCTTTTCTCGACAAGGTGAAGGATTGGGGAGGGAGGGAGAGTCCAACACTAACGAACTCGAGCCAGTATTTTGAAAAGTTTATTACAAAGCTTAAAGACTTAAAAAGAGTAAAAATTTCTTTATGAAAGATACTAATTTGACTCCAAGTCAATAGCTGTCAGTAAGAAGAGCATATAAAAATAAATTACATCTTGTGGCAGACCCACAGATTGTGTTTCTTACCTAGTTTGCTCTTGGATTACTTACAATCTGATAAATAACATTTTACAAGTTATAATCTCGGAAACATGCCTAATCGTTTGTATAGTAAAAGATTTTAAATATTTTAAACATGATCGAAAAAAATCGCCCTGCGAAACATATGCAAATCTAAAAATTTCGATTAAAAAAACTGTAAAAAATTATCAAAATATAATTTAACGCCTTCAAAAGAGCATTTCTATGAAATTCAAAATAAAAGGTCTAATCATTTGATGTAAATTTGAATAATCTTGTCAGCCTGAAGGTAAAGCGGACTATAAATTCTGTCTCTTCGCAAGAAAACTTTTAAAACCGACATTGTTATCCAACATATTTCAAACTTTGCAAGTTTATGTCAACAGATTCTTAAACCTTAACCTCTAATAAAATCTTCAATTTCTAAATGTCAATGCAATTTTCTTTAGCTTTATACTGCAAATACTAGCTTTGTAGAGAAATGAAAGGTTTCCAATGTCTTTTATCAAAAAAAGTTGGAACAAAGAGCTTCCAGAAAATGAATCATTGTCTTAATGATCAAAATAAAACAAGGGTTTGCATAACACAGATTTTAAGAGAATACAAGTGGCTTATACCAAATGAGTAGAGCTGGATAAGGATGAGAACTTTGAACTCAAGAGACACTGGGTCCCCTTTCTCTCATAAGTTACTCTACTTCTTTTCGATTCCATTGCTAAAACTTCCAAGACAGAGGTTCATCAACTACGATAATCAAATATTAGTTTTTAGTCTGTCAGATTTCAGATTCTAACTTTAGTTCTTCTAGCTCGTTCATCATCTCCTTGATCTCTCTTTGTAATTCTTTGTGGAACTCTGGGTCGGGTGTAGCCGCGCGGGCGTATCTGTCACGATGGTAATCATCATCTTCATCTTCTGAGCAATTCTCGGAGTGCAGGTAGGAATTCTCCGGTGAATCATCGCACACCTCCATTCGATTCCCAAGATAAACCTGCTCCAGATCGTCCTCTGAGTACATTCCGTCCGTGACACTTCCCAGCTCCGAGCCCCGCGCTGTAAGTGTTGGCGCGTATGATCCCACGGGAAGTTGATCCAGACTTTCTGGATAAGGCTCTCTTGGAGGGCGTGGGAATCGCCCTTTAAAGATGTCTGGATCAAGATCTGTGGCATCTGAGAATTCAGAGAAGCGGGAGTCCATAGAGTACCGTGAGGCTGATTTACCCTTAGGATTTGTGTATTCCATGGGCTTTTTAGGAACATGCGGGACGTCTGTGTATCCGTCCTCTGATTCTGATACTCTATAATTCCTTGGCCTCTTAGGAACCTCCGGCACATCAAGAGAACCCTGTGAAGATCTAAAACTTGACGGCCTCTGTGGTACTTCCGGAGCAAATGTTGCACAGTCCGGAGAACCACTATAGCTACCTGAATGTTCTTTTGACAAGGGAGTCCTAGGAACTAGGTCAGCAGGGATGTCCGTGTAGTCCCACTGGTAGCCAGGTAGATTGTTATCAGATAAAGAAGTCAACGTTTTCATGGTCCCGAAATCCTTTCGAACTTTCTCACGCCTGCGCCAAGAGTCCTCCGCATCGTACCCAGGAGGCATACCGAGATCATCTACATTGTAACCATGGACTTCCCTTGGGGGAGGAGTGGGAGGCTCTGGAGATGTGACTTCTGAGCCTACCACGGGTGGGGAGACCTTTAAAACCGACGTGCTAACAGCTCCAGCTTGTTCACGCTTTTCTCGTCTTCGTTTGGCTCGACGTCGAAGGAAAATTACAACAAGGAATACAATGAGCAGAATAACTGCGAGCACTACAGCAATTCCAATGATTTCTGTCTGTCCCAATGGCCAGCCGCGTCGGGCCTCAATACTAGTGAGCACTAGCTCACAAAGTTTTCCACCATGAGAGCTTGCAGAGCAGTTACATGCAAAGTTTCCCAATTGGTTCACACACACGCCTCCATTTTTGCAAGGGGAACTGGCACACTCGTCAACATCTTCAGAACAATCAGCCCCCGTATAACCCTGAAGGCAACGGCAGACTGCAGCACCATTCTTCTGGTTTTCTTCGCATGTCCCTCCGTTTTGGCAATGGGAATCTTTACTGCAGCGATACCCTTCATCACAAATCTCCCCAGAAAAGCCAGCGCGACAATGACATTTGTAAGATTCACCATGGTTGGTGCAATTCGCGTTGTTTGCGCATGGGTTAGACGAACAGGGCCTTGTGTCTTGCTCGCAAGTCTTTCCTTGAACTCCCGCTGGGCATGTGCAAATAAAGCCACTCTCGCCGCTTGGAATGCAGCTTCCGCCATTTCTGCAAGGCGCACTGGCGCAATGACCAGTGTAGATGTGACATTGTGTACCTGAGTAACCGTCTTTGCATCTACACTGGTATCGGTCTGTTGGATGAGGGACGCATGTCCCACCATTCTGACAAGGCTTGACACCACAGTCCACAAATGCACGGCAATCTGAACCTGAATGACCAGGCAGACACTCGCACTTCTTCGATGTCAGGGTCTCTATGCATGTGCTGTCACGTGGACAGGTGTTGATGCGGCATCCACCTGATAACTGACAGCCAGGTACCGCATTAAATGGTTCGGCAGCTACGTAACTGTTTGAGCCAGACATGGGCAGGTCCTGGTTGTTCAAATTCAAATTTTGAAGACAACCTTTGAAGCCATCCTCGACTAAATGACCTGTAAAGAAAATTTTTTTAGTTAATTACTGTACCTCAAATCCTTCACTTCAGAATGCGGTAATTTTCCTCAGAGGGTGCGTAAGTGACGTGGGAAGCACGTGACTTCAACTTACTTACATGCGTACAGTGGACGAGAAGAAGAAGAAAAGAAGAGCCACTTTGGGGAACGTCCACTGCTAAATCCTACTATTATTATTATTATTATTATTATTATTATTATTGTTATTATGGTCAATATTATTATTATTATTGTTATTATCATCATGTGCCAAGTGACACAATTTCATATCTAAGTTCTGTCGAACGAAAACAGTAACACCTGGTTACAAAGTCGAAAGCACTATGAATCAATTATGCTGCACTTCTAGCTGTAAACAATTCTTCTCACCTTGATTGTTGAGATCCCTCCTAGTCTTTGATTTAACAACTTTGGCGCCGAAGTAAATCGCGTTATCATCAAGATTCAGTATTCTCATCTTCCCAGGAGATTTGTTCCAGGCGCGGTGACGACCCTGATCCAGAATTAAAGTGGCGTGGTTACCTTGCCGCATGATTGCCACGTGATGCCATTTACCATCGTCCACTCGGGCCCAGTCTAAGTTTACAACCCCGGCCCCACTGCCAAAATCAAAGCGTAACTGAAGACGGCCGTTCACAATCTGTAAAAACAAAGATCACGGATATAATCGATTACATTAAACTTTTCAAACCCATGTTGGATTTAGAAACCTTTGCTTCTGAAAGATTTCTTTCTCTAGACAAACGTGACATGTTCATATATAATTAATGAGCACACATAAGACATACCTCTAGAATACTGTAGTCATACTGTCCAGCGGCCCACACCAATGTTCCTCGAGGTTCAGTGGTCTTGAGAGCAAGACTAATAGAGCGGCTTGGTTCATCGAATGACTGCTTCAATTTATAGCGGATGTAACTATCACCTCCAAACGATATGGCATTATTACCTGTAAAAAAAAACAACGAATGCATCACTAAATGCTCTCCTTGTAATGTCTCTTTCGACTTTGCTTGAGTTTTGCTATAAATATCTGTTTTAATGAAATTAATCTTACGAAAAAAGGTACGATTTCGTGGAAGATACCTATTATGCAGGATTGATCTTCGCAGCCCGGTTTGTCAGGTTGACACTTGGATGAATCAACGCACTTACACTGGAACCCCAAGGGAAAGTCGGCGCACTCATAACCAGCAGGACACGGATTGGACGCACATTTACCACTTGCGCAGCCTGGGAATGAGTTATCACACGATTAGTTAAATGCAGAATGTGACCAGCGGAGAAAGGGGATCTAAATTTCTACCACTTTTACATGATACAGAGAATCCTTGATTTAAATAAGAAGCAGAAATAATGCAAAACTTAAAGGTTCCTACTCACAGCCTCAAAGTAAACTAGCAAAAAAGTAGTTAAACAGTGATTCATTCTAAGGGAGTTAAAAACTTTAAGGGTAAGGTCCACCAATAATATTAAATTCGACCAAATGAATCATACACGACCAATTTCCTCATGATCTTACCAGCGTCGCGGTTACACATACAAGCATGACTTCTGCTGTGTTCATAAGAAGTGTAAGTGGTTCTTTCAGACATGATTCTTATTTGCTTGTTCTGTGGTTTATAGACCGTCTGACATGAGTAGTTTTCGGGGCAGTGCATTAGAGGGCATTGGCTGACACCAATGTACCCTACTTGGACTCCTACAACTCTCTGGAAGTCACCACGGGAAGAATTCAGCTTGTGTGCGATGTGCTGAGATGCGTAGAAACCCTGAAGAGGAACAGTGAGAAATCACATCATCAAAGTGAACAGGAAGCACTTCCACCAATCAGAACAACGATAAATATTACAAGGAGCCAATGAGAACTTAAAGTAAAAACAAGTTCGTCATGTGCGGCATTGATGTGAAAAAAGCAAGTCGCAATTTATTTTATTTTTGTATATAATTAATTGAGAGGATGGCGCGAGATTAATCACAGAGCAAAGAAATGGGAAACCAATGCTGTTCCCAATGACTTTTGACGTGAAATCATACATAGATCGAACAATTTCGACACCTAAAACTCGAATTTTAATAAGAAACCCTTGTTTAGGCTTTAAATGACCTTCGATTCTCCGTCGATATCAAAATATAGATGTTTTAAAATTCATTCCACGAAAAATTTGCTCAATCGAATTCCCTTCGTCATAGAGGTAAGTCCTACCTTGACTCGCTTCATAACAGCGAATACAACATCCAAACTTGTGTCAGAAGATTGCAGGCTCCATATATGGACATTCTCAGTAGGAACATTAAGCAGGGATCCCAAGTAGTCTCTGCACTTGCCCAGGTTCCTCTCCACGAATGTTCCCGGGCTAAGAGCCGACAGGCGCAGAGTCAGGGAATGTCGCAGGATGTCTTCAGTTATATCTGACACAACAATTTTCACTGGAACATAAGTGAGGTACTTGCCATCGGATACACTGACATTCAGATTGTAGATTCGACTTGGAACGTTAGAAGTGGCACTGATCACTCCACTGTTTGTTATCGTGAAGGGGCTACCAGAACGAGGCGCAACAATCGAATACGTCAGAGGGTCCCCATCGGCATCAGTTCCTTTGACACTTCCGATGACACCACCGTTAAACTGCGAACTATATAATTTGAGGTAAACGGTTAGCGGCTCCACGACTGGAGGATGCGAAATGCCCTCAACTACAATGATAGTGAGTGTCTTGTCCGTGTACTTCGGTGGCTCGCCACTGTCGAACACGCGGATCTCGAACTTGTGTTCCTTATCTCTATGATCCAAAGGTCCTGCTTTGGTTATCAGACCGTCCCTTTCCAGTTTAAACTTCGTTTCGTCGCCTTTAATTTTCATGAAAGTAAATGGACCTTTATTCCCAGGACCATCACGGTCATGAGGCCGTAAAAAGATGACAGTAGTACCTATGGCGGCTAACTCACTGACAGAGACAGTAAAATTTGTGTTAGTGAATTCAGGCGGGTTGTCATTCAGGTCGTTGATGCTAAGTTCAACTTGGGTCTCTGCTGACAAAGGAGGTATCCCCTTATCCTGAGCACGCACTGTTAGAGTGTACTTAGAGGCAGATTCATGATCGACATGCCCCTTGATGCTGATTACGCCAGTGATGTCATCAATTTTGAACTTATCTGCATCGTTTCCTTTCACGATGGAATAACGGATATCTCGGTTGGAACCGCTATCAAGGTCTGTGGCGAACATTTGAAGTACAAACGAATCCAAATCAGAGTTCTCGTCCACTCTAGCGGTGTAAAGATCTTGTCCAAACTTAGGGACGTGATCATTAGCATCAGTGACTATCACACTCAGTGAACAAGTTGTAGTCAGAACTGGCGGACCAACATCACTCGCCTGAATTGTCAACGAATAACTCTTCCTTGTTTCAAAATCCAGGTTTCCTTCCAAAGTAACATCTCCTGTTTTCTTGTCAATTTTAAAGATGTCTGAATCTGGACCTTTCAGAATCTCGTAGGAGAACTCTTCGTGTCCAGCCTCTCGGCTGATGGCCTCCATTTTTGTTATCTTCGTACCTTTTGCAGCATCTTCGCTCACATTGGCTTTGTAGCTGGATTCGGCAAACTCCGGAGGAACATCGTTTATATTCAAAACCTGAATCACTACATTGCACGTTTCTGACTGAGGGGGGACACCCGCGTCTTCGGCCTGCACGGTCAACACGTACTCCGCTTGCTTCTCTCTATTAAGATCGCTCGTAAGCGTTATCACACCGGTCTCGGAGTCAACACTGAACGTATCGCCTGCCGTGTCCAATAAAGAATATGAGATCTTCCTGTTCTTTCCCAAGTCGGAATCGTCTGCCCTCACCTGTAGAAGCACTTTATTTCTACGGGCGTCCTCGTATACAGCCTTTCGGTATTCTGACTGACTGAAAACAGGTCCATTGTCATTCACATCGTCAAGAAGGACCGTTATGTTACTAAAACACGCCTGTCCTCCGCGATCCTCCGCTGACACCATGAAATTGTACATTTCCTGTACCTCGCGGTCTAATAACTTGGCAGTTACAAGACGACCTAGTGAGAGAATGAAAGAGAAGAAAGTTAAGTTTTTCGGGTCGGCAAAGAGTTATACTAATGAACCATTCCAGCGCCCCTCTTGAATGGAATGTTGGTTCACCAGGAATCTCTTCCAGCCACAAACACCTCTCACACCTCCCCTCTTCCTTCCCCCCTCCCCCCACACCTTTCGTCTCCATTTTCCTGCTCTCTCTTTTTTTGTATCCCACAAAGGCGACCAATCTGAGACATATTGTTAGGCCTCGAGTCGCTCAAACCAGCTGTTTCAAATGCAGTGACTGTAAAGCCATCTTTAACCTACAAATATATGACATAAGAATGCAGCAACAGTAAGCTACTAAAAAAAAAAAAAATAACGTAATGCTACTACAAACTGTAACATTAAACATCACGGCACATTCATTGGTGATATGGATATGATACTCACCAGTTCCGTTTTCAACTCCAAAGAAACCCATTCCTTGTCCAAACACGGAATACCTCAACTTGCCATTATCATCAGCGTCCGCGTCAGTGGCCTCCACTATCATTACCTCAGTACCAGGCTTCACGTCCTCGCTGAGATGAACAATAGAAATTGACTGGGTACATACTGGCACATTGTCATTAGCATCAAGGACTGTGATAATCAAAGTAGTGAAGCTGGTGAAAAGACCATCTGAGCAGCTTACATTCAGCTTGTAGGACGAGACGGATTCACGATCCAGTGGAGAGTGCACGAAGACTTTGCCAGTCTTTTGCTCGATTCCAAATTTAGTTTGAGGATCGCCAGACATGATAAAGAAGTATACATCAGAATTGGTATCGTTGTCAAAAGATGTTAATGTGCCGACTTCTTGACCAATTAGGGCGTCCTCTCGAACAGAAAATGTGAAGATGTCCTCAGTGAACTGAGGTGGGGAGTCATTGACATCCAGCACAGTCACTTCCACGACTGTATAACCTGACAGCTGTGTGACCTCGCCTTTGTCGGTGGCGCGGACTCTCAGCACAAGAGAGTCTGCGACTTCGCGATCGATTGGTGCTGCTGTTGTTATCCAGCCAGTGTGCTGATCAATAGCAAACAAATTTGTTTTAGTTACAAAATCGTACACTATTTTTCCATTTTGGAAGTCGTCTAAATCCTCGGCAAAAACTCTCAAGACCTTTGATTTGACCATTATATTTTCTGGGATACTGACCCTGTAAGGATTGGCCACGAAATGAGGCTTGTTATCATTCACGTCTGTCACTGACACAATTACCACAGTTCGTGCGACTTGAGATATTTCTGAGGAATTAGCCTCGATGACTAAAACGTATCTTTTCAATGTCTCGTAATCCAAACGCCGCTTGAGTTTAATCTGACCGCTAGCATCAATACTGAAGTGATCTCCCTTCGATGATGGCGAATTCCCAGGAATTATTTGGAACCCAACTCGTGGACGTGTGCTACCTGGAAGTAAGGTTCTTAAAGTCGTTATGATACCGTCGGTGTTCAGGTCTTCGGGCACAAGGATTCTGTACACTGACTTTTCAAATTGTAAAATCTTGGCGTTCTTCCTTAGCACGTTCACCGACACTTTCACCGTGTTCCGTAAATATGGAAATCCGCCGTCTTTGACTAATACGTGGAACATGTAGGTCTTCGTTTCGGGCTGCCGAGAAATTTTTATGAATCCCGAGTCCTTTTCGACTTCAAACACGGGTGGGGTCTGGTGACCAAGGATGACGTATGATAAGGCACCATTACTTCCGGTGTCAGCGTCATTTGCTGACGTCATCAAGATGGAAGTTCCAACTGGGGTTGAACTGTGGATTGTCACCTCGTACAGCGGAAGCTCAAACTTTGGTTGGTTATCATTCTCATCAAGGACGTTAACCTGTAAAGAATTGGTTCAGTTAATATTACCTTTATCTTAATGAGCAACGACGACGTTTCGACGTTAGCTTAGGGTCATCAACGATTCAAAGTGAATAAAATTGTGCGTAAATATTGGAAAAATCATGAAAGCAAGGAAAGATGTTAAAGAAATTAGGTTAAAAATGATGATGGCGTCCACTGCCTCCAATAGGATACTGTGCGAATATTCTTTAAAGGTAGAGCAATCATAACATTTTAAATACAGCTGAATTTCTAGATTCAATGGAGTCATAATAACAAGAAGGGCATCACAACTTCGCTAAACGTACCTGTACAGTGCAGAACCCAAACCGTCCTCCTCCATCAGAGGCTCGAACGGGAATTGACGAAAAAGCCTCTGATGAATTCTCGCGATCAAAACTAATCTTACTGTAAATCATTCCTGTTTCGCCATCAATCATGAACTTCTCAGCGGCGTCTACGTCGTCAATGGAATACCTGACACGGGCGTAATCACCAGAGTCTAAATCGGTAGCAGTAACCATGGTGACAAATGTTCCTGGTGGATAATTCTCGTAGAAGTCCACAGGGTAGACTTCTTGATCGAATACTGGACTGTGATCGTTAGTGTCGCCGATCACCACCCGTACACTGGTCACCGCTGATGATTTCCCGTCCGTTACCTCAACACTAAGGTCATACACCTTACCGCGTTCAAAACCGACATGCTTTGAGATGGTCAGAACACCGGACGTTGAATCTATTTGGAAATATTCTTTTCCGTGTCCGGATTTAATCAAGTAACGTAGTTTGCCAACGTCATCGTCATCCGGGTCACTGGCTATCACGCGTGTAACAAAGAATCCAGGCCCCGCACTGCCTGAAATGGACGTGGCGTAGCTGTTCTGTTCAAAACTGGGCGGGTTATCATTTGCGTCTTCGACCACAATGCGCACACGAGCCTCTCCAGTCAGCGGGGGAGTCCCACCGTCTGTAACGATCAGTTTCAATTCATGGACTATATTCTGTTCGTAATCCAGTCTCTTCGCAACTACTATTTGACTTGTTGCCTGGCTGATGACGAAGAACTCACTTGTTTTGCTATCATTATGGGAATTCAATGTTTCCAGTCGGTAACTTAGCTGCTTATTAACTCCCGAGTCTCTATCGAACGCTGTGAAGGAAACCACCGAGGTACCAGTCGGAGTGTCTTCAGGAATAGTCGCCAGATACAGTGATTGGTTAAACAGTGGAGCGATGTCATTGACATCAGTGATGGTGATAAGCACTGTGATTTCTCCGTAAGACGTCGTCGATTCGTCAGTAGCACGCACAAGAAGCTGGTAGCTAGTCCGAACCTCGTAGTCCAGAGAGGATTCTACCGTCAGAACTCCTAGTTAAATCAAATAAAGATATGAGAAGACCTTTACAAGCAAAAACCAAACGATATTAATTTGACGTAAAACGAACTCGTGTCTCTTTTCTGATGAAACCCAGTACACGTAACAGTACCAACAACTTATTTATCAAATTGCATTTACACTCTTGTAACTAACTGCATAAAATTTTCTCTAATCGAGCTATGGCTCAAAGAGTTTTCCAATACGTGAAATTGTGCACGCAGGGATAAAAATAGCGGCCTTTTGTTATGTATGAGGTGCTTAGTTCTAACCTGTTTTCAAATCAATGGCGAACTGATTATATGGATCTCCAGCCAAGATTGTATACAAGATATCTGCACCACCAGGACTTCTGGCTTGTACTCGGGTAATTTCCTCACCAACATTCACATCTTCTCTTACCACCTTGCTGTAACTCAAGTAGTCGAATATAGGTGTTTCTTTATCCACGACCTTGATCTTCACAATAGTTTTGGCACTCATTCGTACCACGCCTTCATCTCGCGCTTCAATTTCAAGAGTAAAGACAGAGGGAACTATTACGCCATCTAACAACCTGCTGACTTCAATGTTTCCAGTGGCATAGTGGACCTCGAAACGGCCTTCCCCTCCTCCTTTGAGAAAGTACCTGTGATAGAACAAACATAACATACATCAGCAACATAACGAAAAAAGAAAGAAGCTGGATGCTATCAAAGAGCTTCCAAAAAACAAAACAACCCTAACTTTCCCGATGTAAACAACGGAAATCACATACTTGATGGCACCATTGCTGCCGATATCCTTGTCGCTTGCCTGGACCTCTCCCACAAATGCTCCGACATCTGCACTAACTTGGATCACGAAGAAATACACATCTTTGGTAAAAATCGGTGCATTGTCGTTTACATCATCCACAATCACGTACAACAGACTCTGAGCTACTCGAGGCATTGGTTTTCTGTCGTCCCGAGCTTGGACAACGATTTCATATCGATCTGTTGTCTCTCGATCAAACGTTTTTCCTGGCAACGTCGACACGATGCCTGTACTTTCGGAGATGACGAAGAAATGCGATGGAACAACGACTGAGTAGGTAATGGTGTCACCGACTGAGTAGCCTACAGTCTGCAGTTGAACGATGTCGGCAGCTGTACTGATTCCTTCTACAACTGACGCGTTGTACTCGATCTGACTGAACTGAAGATCACTGACTGGCAGCGGTTTACATTCAATATTTACAGTGGCTTGATTACTAAAGTTTCCATCCGAAACAGAGACTTGAACGTGATAAACTGCTTGATGTATGAGTGAAGAGTTTTTCACGGTTATAACACCTTGTCTTGGGGAAATATCAAAGATGTGCGTGACAGATGGCGTGGCAATTGAGTATGTAAGGCTAGTGAGAGGTTGGGAGTCTCCGTCTGCAGCTGTGACTGTGGTTATAACAGAACCAGAGTACGTTGGTAAGAAGACTACTGCTTCGAACACAGGAGAGGAAAAGATTGGAGGAAGGTCGTTGACATCGTGCACCGAGACAACGACATCTGTAAAAGCAGAAAAACTGGGTGTTCCATCATCAGAAACTTTGATCTTAAACCTGTACGACGACACGGACTCAAAATCCAGCATCTGTGAAGGAAGAAAAGAAAAACCTCCTGAACAAAGGCAATAAAGTTGGTCTCACTTAAAAAAGTTAAAGATACACCGCATATTCCTGGGTGTACAGAGGTGCATTAGGAGTAAAGCGCCTTGCCAAATTACAAAACCTAACCAGCAGACCAAGAAACTTCTAGAGCCAGACCTCCTAAATGAAATTCTTCCTGCAATATTCTCTTTACCTCTGCTGTCATCAGTTCTCCAGATTGTGAGTCAATCGTGAACATCGAACATCCAACAACTTCGTACATCAAATCACTACCGCTGACGTCGGCATCACTGGCTTGAATGGCAAGTGCTTTCCCATCTCCACCAATTACAGGCGAGTCTTCAGGTAAGCCTTCCTTGATGTGTCCCTGGTAGAGCAGTTGGCTAAATGCCGGCGCATGATCGTTCTCGTCGATTATTTTAACAATCAGTTGAGTCTGTCCATTTCCATCGCTACTGGTTCCACGAATTAAGAACTTGCACTCAGTAAGCTCTTCAGCATCGAAAGGTTTCTAAAAGCAAAAGTCGCGGTTAGATTCAAACCATATAAAATAGCTGAAAATTGCTTTGCGTCACAAATGTGGTTTGTTTCCTCTTCCATTTTCCCGAATTTGTCTCCTCTGTTTTGTTGCTCACCAACTCGAAACATTTCTAACATTTCTGCTCTAATGTGATAGTTTCCAAGTTATGATGGGAAAGTTACAGTCTAATTTTGCTCTTTTTTACAGTAATTTACCATTAGAAGCAGACAAAAAAATGAACTTGATTACAGTAAACCCTGCCGGGAATATACCAATATACTTCTAAATTTGGTTCCACTGAAACGGCGTGAAAATAAAATTGTGGCAGCTTGTTGCACTTATTTCTTATAATAACTTAAGTGAGACACGTAGTATGATAGTACCTTTCAAAAAACACTCAGAGTCATTTAAAAACATATTCTTCGTCCAAAGAAAGTAGAACAGATAACAAAATTCAAAGTAGTCTTTAACATGCAGCGTCAGGTTGCCGGCCTAATATTTGCTTTGTTATCAAGTTTCGAGAGAAAGGAAAGAAAGGGACCGAGGGTCGAGAAACAACGTCGAAGAGCTGATAATTTTCCAAAATATAACGATTTCAAGAGGTTAACAATTTACGCCCATTTGTCATGATTTAGACTTATGACGACTTAATGACTTTGCAATGAAAACTGTAATGTGATTTGAGACTGGCGCACCAAATGAAAAAAGAACACTTTGTCAGATCACGAACATCCTCTTCAAATTATAGAAAAAACAACACCTTCGGGTGAACAGAAGAACATCTGTCTCTATTTTTACTGGTATTGTTATCAGAACACCCACGAATATGTAACCATTTGGAGAAACAAACACGAAAATACTTCTAATGAAAAACTATTGATATCCAAAAAGTAAAATATCCTCGTTTGGTATCGACTCGAACTGAATTTGACAACCTAAACTAAAATAAAAACTCATTCAGTGTCACAACCTTTCTCTGTTAAGCGGATTTAAGGGCTAAAAATATTTTATAACAATCAAGCGCACACGTAAAAATTTCACAATGACCTTTGGTGAGCTGCTAAGCAAAAAGTTACAAAAACATCACGCGAGGGAAAATCAAAAACTTGTCACGATGAAAATCATTTCATAAACGTTCAGACTCTTTAAGTTCATTCAACATGCTATTTTAAGGACTGATAAAACCAGAAATGCATTCTAGAAGGTTCAATCGGCAGATAAGTCTCATGTGGAAAAGATGACCTTTGTCAATGACGCCAAAGAGGCGATGACGAACAGATGATCAATCAGCCCCAAGTCATGCAACAATCAAAAGCGTAACTTATCGTTGTTAACGGTTCAAGCAAAGTCTAAAACATTTCACTGAGCCTTGGTGGTCAGTGGATGACTTTTTATCTTAAAGTAGCAATTTTTGTCTGTTTTATTTGAAAACCATAATAAATTGGAACGTGCTATGAGTTACTAGGGTGAGGGAATGTCGGATTACAGTTCAACGCATACCCATAAAGCTCCTGCAATTTATCACGGAACGCAACCACGCGAGACAATTAACTAATAAAGTCCAGTATGCAACTGTTTTTTTTTCTTAACATTCTTGCGCCAACATTTAAAGAATAAGAACAGCACATGCTTCTAAGATGAAATGGCGCAAATGAAAATATTTTACTAGCATAGAATTCTAGGGAGCAACGACAAGAATTTTGCAAACGGAAATCAATCTCACTTAATCTTGAGAGCTTTGCGTCATAATGCTTGATGCTAAGTAACTTTATAATTTGCTTCAAGAACTCGACTTTTGTGACAACAATCTCATTACTCTTCCATTAAGTGATAAAATAATATGTTCAAAGTACACCTTGCAATAAGATTAACGAATAAAATCTTAAGACTTTCTGTTCATACTCAGCAGGGTCTAAAACAGTCGCGCGAGCCATTTCAAGTTGTTACTCAAAGACAGTTTTCACATATTTCCAGATAATGAAACATCTATTTTTGTTTTAGCCTGAGGAGAAATGCTGTAGATCAATTCACCGGAATTTCCCGCTTCGTACGGCTAAGTTCTGTTTACAAAGACCTTTTATGTAGTTGTAATCAAAAGATCATGTAACTCTTTCCAATTGAAAGATAACCATTTACCTCTTAACAATAAACACGCTTTTACCCCCCGAAATTAAAGAATTTGGCAACGACAACCTGTAACTTGATAATGTCATAAGATATTGAAATGACTTTTTAAAGCTTAAAGTTTCTGTACTTGTTTTTTTGCATTAAAATGAATTGTATTTGGTAACAGTTCAGATTGTCCATATTAGTTTTTTCCTTTGAGTCCAACCGTATTTCACGAGAAAAGGAAGACAGTACTAGGCAAATCACGTGCCACAAGAGATTGTCAGCAACTGATTAACTTCACAAAATATGTCTTTAAACCTTTTAAATATACTTTAAGTTTTAGCAGGTTTTAGAAGGAAATCAGTTAGGGTCAGTGCCGGACTAAACACTGATCAGTTCAGGCTTTCGAACAATCTAGCTGCCTTTATAAAGTTACCTCCTTGAGCAATTAAACAAATAAGAAGGCCAAAAAGGTTCTTTCACCGTAAAAATATTACTCATATTGCGATGCGTTAAATAATTGATGTAATGTTAATTTAATAACTTCGAGAGAGGAAATCCTTTCATCTGCTGCATGCCAAATAATAATAGCATCACGTTCACAAAATGAACTGCTGTGCACACGAAAAATCTTCAACATGTAACATACTGTTAAGTTGAAACAAATCGAACCTTTTCTCAGCAGGTTCACTGGAAAAAGTCAATAACTATGTGATGTTTACCTTGTTAGTAACTAGCCCAGTTTTCCGGTTGATATCAAAGTCTTTCCAGCAGGCGTTATCCTGAGGCACAAACTCATAAGACGGCAAGCTGCCATTGAATATCACGTTAATAATTGGATGACCAGGACGATGATTTTCTTTGATTGAAGCTTGGTATAAAGGTCGCTCGAATTCAACAGGCTGGTTAATGCCTCTTACCAAAATCTAAAGACATTTTGGAAATAGAATCTAGTTAATGAGAAAAACAGAACTTTATCGTAGATTTGACCAGAATATTTGACATTAGAATGGTACATGGAATAAAGTCGTGAAACCCAAAACCCTACACATAGACCAAACAAGGCCCATGAAACAAACACTTTGAAAATATAATACATGTTAGTAAAAATGAATACAACAGAAAAATTTTTTTCAAACTAGCTTTAACAACCACAAAGTTTCAGGCAAACAGACAAGGTGTCACAGAGAAAACCTGAAAACCAGGGCTTGCATTGCACAGAGGGTAACAGGTGCCAGTGGTTCAAGTTGGTCATAAACATATTCACTTCATATGATCTTTTCTGCCCACTGAAGTCTCCTGAGGCTGACTTCCTGACACTAAATCTTAAAGAAACCCCCAACATAACAAATCTACCAGCTATGCCACTCCTCTGAAGTTGGAAATCCCCCCTTATTGTTCTCATTTAGCACTGAAGTAAAAATATTTCAACAACATTTTAAAATATCTGATATACAAAAGAATGCCATCTAAACTCACCTTCACTTCAACTTCAGCTGTTTGAGTTGGGATTCCACTGTCTGACACCTGCACTTGAAGACTGTATTCATCAATAGCACTACTTAATTTTGCCGCTACTTGTATAATTCCTGAATTCTGATCAATGTAAAATGCATCTTTTGTATTTCCACCTTTGATGGAAAATTTAAGCAATGCATTTGTACCATCATCATCATCAGTTGCAAACACTTTGATAATGGGAGTGCCAATGGAGGCATCAACATTCACTTCAGCTTTGAACTCTGATCTAACAAACATGGGCTTGTGATCATTCACATCATCCACTTTAATCACAATGGTAAAGAGACTTTGTCTCTTGGGAGTTGCTTGATCTGTGGCTTCAATTATAAGAGTATGCTCCTTCAAATCTTCATAGTCCAGAGGCTTTGTTGTCTTGATGTTGCCAGTTAAGCTCTGGATCATGAACAATGAAATGGACTTTTGTTTGACTGAGCCCACAATGGCATACTTTACAGACCCACTGGCTCCACCATCTCCATCAGTTGCTGTCAAATTGATGTAAAAGTCAAAGGATAATTAGCTTTATCTTACTTGTCCTTAAATGTTTGTTAATACAGCTTTCCTGAGGAGTATATGATTGTGGTCTGGGCATGCAAGAGGTTATGTTTGCAAACTAACACTATTAGGTCTGGCTTTCGCAACAATTCAGATAGTGATCCCATCACATCACAACACTTTTTTTCTTCAATTCCAGGTACACCAGAGGAAGACTATGATGATTAATAATAATCAGTATACATTGAAAAGTATCTGTTGGCAAAGAGCAATAATTGTTACCTTCAACTTTGGTCAGTATTGATCCAATTTTGGCATCTTCTGGAATATGAACTTGATACTCTGTCATCAAGGGCACTGGTGAGTTGTCGTTGACATCCTCAACTTCAATTTCCAAAGATGTTGTTTTAGTGTTATAGTCATCAGATACCTGGATTGTCAAAGTATAAGAACTGGCTTCTTCATGATCAAGTTTGTTGGCAATGGTTACCTCGCCCCTAGCTTTGTCAATTAGGAATTTGTTTCCAATGTTTCCTGAGATAATAGAGTATGTCAAAGAGTCACCATCAGAATCATGGGCAGAAACAAGTTCCACAACAGATCCAACCTCAGCATCTTCTTTAAATGACTTCTTGTAGACCTTTTGCCTGAACCGGGGTGGGTTAGAACTAGGTGGGTTCTTTGACATGCAGTACTCCATGAAAACAGGAACTGATGCAGATCTTGGGGGTACTCCACCATCTGTAACATTGACTTCAAACTCAAGATAATTCTCACCTTGGCAGGAAAGTTTGGCAGAGATGACACCAGTTTTTGGATCAATTTTCAACTGTCCAGGACTGATTTCTGATGGATACAAAAGCCCATAGGTCAGATCAGCATTGCTGCTGATATCTTTGTCCACCGCTGCAACTCTCAAGATCTCAACAGAAGTTGAAGGATCATCCTGCTTCTTAAAATAAACATCATAGAAGGATTTCAAGAAGTAAGGACCATTGTCATTAGCATCAGCAACTGTCACTGGAAAAGTAATATATGCAGATTTTGGTGGGTTGTCACCATTAGACACCTTGACTTCCAGTTCATACTTATCTTGTTCTTCACGATCAAGAGATGTGGTTGTTGTAATGAGGCCACTCTTCCTATCAATGGCAAACCTACCAGCCTCATTCCCACTTTTGATAGAATAAAGCAGGTTAGATCCATCTGAACTTGGATTATGAGCTTTCACAGTCACAACACTTTCTCCTGGTGCAGCATTTTCAATGACAGATGGAAAATAAATAGCAGGGTTGAAATAAGGGGGGTCATCATTGACTGGCAGCACAGTAATCAACATTGGAATATTGGTGTGTAGTGGAGACATTTCACGGTCTTTTACCTGGATGTGCAGCCAATAATGATCACTTTCCTCACAATCAAGCATTTTTGTGGTTCTGATGATGCCATTTTCACGGCCAATTTCAAACTTATCAACTCCTGTTCCATCAATGATAAAATAGCTCACATACCATGAGTCACTATCAAAGGCTTCTGCCTTCAGAACAGAAGTTCCAACAGGGCTGTTCTCAGACACAGTTGCCCTTAAAAGACTCACCCCAGGAAATATTGGGGCAATATTGTTTTCATTTACATCAAGAATGTTAATGTTTACATCCGCAAATGATGATAGGCGCGGTGTCCCTTTGTCACTGATTTTGACTTTCAAGTTATACACATTTTCCTGTTCATAATCCACATGGCGACGTAATCTTATCACACCACTTCCAGAATCAATCTTGAATCTTTTGAGGTTGTCCACAAAAGAAAATTCAAGTTCTCCTCCTAACCCTGTGTCTGGATCTTCTGCAGAAATTGCAGCCACAACACTCTCTGGTGGGAGGTCTTCAGGAATGGAAACATTAAAAGTTCTTGGAACTATTGCAGGTGCATTATCATTTATGTCCACCAGGTTTACAATAACCATGGCAGATACCATCCTCTGGGATGTTGGAGAGTTGTCAAATGCTTGTACTTCTATGCTGTACTTTGCGCGGTCTTCATAATCAAGTGCATAGGCAACTGACAATCGACCTGTTCTGGAATCTATTCTGAACTTCTCTCCAAAGTCATTCAACAATTTAAAATGAATTCTTCCATTTTCACCATCATCCATGTCTGTTGCATTCACTACAACAACTGTCTGTCCACGTGTGATGTTCTCTGGTATACTAACTTCATAAATGTCCCGTTCAAAGACAGGGGCATTGTCATTCACATCGATAACATTTATATAGATGACTGTATGAGCTGTTTTACCAGGAGAGCCACAATCAGTGGCAGATATGTTCAATCTGAACTTTCTCATGGTTTCTCTGTCTAGCAAAGAAGCTATGTAAAGCTCTCCAGTATGCATGTCTATATTGAATGCACTGCCAATGTTACCACTTACTATGGAGTACAAAATCATACCATTGTATCCCTGATCATCATCAGTAGCAGAGAATTTCATGATGGTTGATTTCACAGCTACATCTTCACTGACTTCAATGACAGACTTGTGCAAATGAAATCTTGGATAGTTTATATTGGTTGGCTTGGCAGGTACTTTTTCAATTGAAGGATAAGATGGTTTGAAGTTGCCTTGTTTCCTTACATGTTCCACAGCTTTGAGGTAATGAGGAAAAACACTGCATCTTGTCTCAACATAGTTTAGAAATTCAGTAGCAGTCTGGGGTGAAACAACCATGATTTTAAGAGTTACCGGATGCTTTGACTTCAGTGCAGAATCAGTCACTGTGACATATAGAGAAAACTCTTTTTCACCACCTTGAAGAGATTTTGCAGTTGTTAACTGTCCAGTACTTGGATTGATGCTAAAAGTTTTATCTGTGTTTCCAACTGGGTCTATCCCATAGACGAGTCCTTCAGATTCACCAACATCAATGTCAACAGCTGTAAGACTGGTTAAGATGGTTCCTACTGGTGCATCTTCACTGATCTTTATAGTACACCGGAAATATTCAAACACAGGTTGATTGTCATTATTGGCCTTGATGTGGAGGTGTACATAAGTCTCTGACTCCCTTCTGAATGGCTCTCCAAAGTCTGATGCCCGTATCTTAAGGGTAATAAACTCTGGTACTCCTACATCCCTGTCCAGCGATGTTAATGAGATAATATCTCCAGTCTCTGAATCAATGGCAAATGGAAGTGACTCCCTATTTATGATTGAGTATTGAATCTTTCCATTACTTCCACTGTCTGGATCATTTGCCCTGACTGTTAGTGGTAATTTTGTTCCAGGTCTCGAATCTTCAAAAAATTCCAGTGAATATGATGGATTTTCAAACTCTGGATCATTGTCATTTGCATCCTCAATATTAACAGAGACTCTTGCACTGGCCATTTGCTTCGACGAATCGGACTGAAAACACCACACGTCAAATTCTAATACTGGTTTTGTTTCATAGTCTAAGTGCCCTGTGGTAGTTATGAGCCCTGTTTCGCGGTCTATACGAAAGTTTTTACTGTGTCCTCCACGCAGAGTGTAATAAACTTTTGCATTGTTGCCTAAATCACCATCGTCTACAAATACACGAACGACGGAGGTGTACAACGGCGCTAATTCGGAAATGGTGGCCTCATAGAGACTTTGATTGAAAGCCGGTTTGATGTCATTAGCATCTTCAATCAAAACACGTAACGTAACGGTTCCACTGCGCGGCGGGGAGCCTTTGTCAAAGGCTGTAATAACCAGTTTATAGCCGTTTGGTGCTTTTTCACGATCTAGTGGCTTCACAACATCGATCCAAAACTCGTCCGAAGCATCCTGTGAGCGTCTGATTTTAAAATGTCCCTCCATGTTTCCTGAAGTGATTCTCACTTTGTTAATTTCACCACCGTTTGCGTTATCTTGATCGGAAACCTGAATTACCGCAAAACGAATATCGCTGTTTCCTTCGATGATCTTTTCAAGCTGAAACTTCACCTTGATCTCTGGCGAAAACCTGTTCACGGGCCTTACTGTAACGGTGATATTGTGCTTTGCTTTCGCTGACTGCGCTTTTGAAGACGGCAAAGTCCGATCTCGTGCGGTTACTAGTAATCCATAGCTTCTTCTCCGTTTACCGGCCAAAGATCTCGTTACAGTTACAACCCCAGAGATTGGGTCAATAGCGAAGAAGGGGGATTTTGAAATAAAAGAGAAATAGAGCAATCCATTTGGGCCCATGTCTTCGTCGTTGGCAACCACTTGAGCAACTGAAGTGTGTAGAGGAATGTCCTCCTCTACAGTCACATGTTGAAACAGACGTGAAAATTTTGGTAAATTGTCATTCAAGTCTAGGACGTTCACATTCACCTCAGTCATATCTAGTACTTCATTTGTTTCTGGATGCTGGGCTGCCACAGTGAGCAAGAAATATCCATCTTCTTCGCGATTTAGTTTTCTTTCAGCTGTAATTTCCATAAAAATGAAGTCTTCCACGCGCTTGGAACTAACAGTGAATGTCCCCTCAGCGTTCCCTTTCGTTATGTTGAATTCGACCTCAGTGTCCTCGTCGTGAGCATAAACACCCATTTTCAAGTCACATATTATTTGAGACTTTTTTGTCTCGGAAATCGTAGCTTGATATAGTCCACCACTCGTAAATTTAATGTCTTTTTCATTTTTTGAACGAAATTCCCACGAATAGGTGGGAACAGTTTCAACCACGACTGAACTGGGACGACCTTGCCGCAATCCATCGTCTCCTAAAGTTTGTGTATTGTTTTCCACCAAACTTTTCTCGATAACTCCAAGACAAACATTTAAAGAACAACAGAATAAAAGAATCGGCAGTACCACGAGTTTAAAGAGAGATCTCATCCTGGAACCTTCACCTGGATTTCAAGAAACGGCAAAAATAACATTAGAGTGAAACGATAACAACTACGAAGCAATTAGTCGCCTGTAATTTGTTTAATCGTGAGTTGTGCTTACCGTTAAAACGTTAATTCATCTATTAAATCCATCCCAGATATATTTAGTTTAGCGCTATACAACTTCAAAGCGAAGGAATGCAGTACATTTGAAAAGATACATGTGGTAAGATGTGGACATGTCCTTTATCGGTTCAAGAAATCCACCAGCATGTCTGGTGTGTTGAAAAGTAAATGAAAAATTTGTGAAATCTCTTGGGAATACTAATACACCGCAGGCCCTCAACCGACAGGAAATGTGACAACCTAATTGACACTGTCTCCATAGAAACGAGCCATTTTAATGCTAATTCAGGAAAGAATCTATATTCCTTTATTAGCAATAGTCAGTGATCTTAAAAGGTCGCATGATTAGAATTCTCTTCAACATCGTTATGTTTTCAATTATTCGAATTGAAGGCCACTCAAAGGGCACGATTTGTAATTTGTTTGTATTTCACGCCTCGTAAATGCTGTAAATATGAACCAGATTTACAAGAATTCTATAGCTAGTGCCCAATAACTTCATGAATTGTCAATAATTGTCAGTTTACGAGAAGTCTGCGGTTTGTACAGCTTGCGTGACATTCAGAATATCTTTGTTATCTATAGCCAATTATCAACTGCAGGGCTTACCCCCAAAGGATCACTTGACCACAACTGCCACAGCAGAACAAAAGAAAAACAATCAAAGTTTTCTTCTAATATCAGCTGCCGCAGATTAAACCACAAAAATTCCATTTCTAGCGTCAAGAAAGGTCATTGTGCATGCAAATCACTCCTGGACAAAGTGAATCATAGCTTACACATCGAACAAATAGATTGACTGATAACTGAAATCAGTGCCGAGAGACAAACTCGAAATTGTCTGCCCACATTTCGCGAAAAAATTATAAGAATCAGACTTTCTTTTAGGGTCTTAAACTCCCCTAACTATCACTCAAAATAAACCAGTATGAGCTCAAATTGGTTTTATAACGCGTCCCTTCACAAACTGATAGCTAGCCTACGCCATGACTAAAGCTTGGTAGAAAAAAAAAGAAAAACTGGTAGGTGTCATGTTTGTACCTCTTGAAAGAAGGTTTAACTGCGACAACAGTACGGCTATTCGTGATTAATCAACTGGAAAAACCACCAACAGTCGCAGGATGATATCAACTCTTTTGTGGAAAAAATCTGACTTTCAAATTAAGTTGCAGTCTTTTGAGATGCTCACAAATGAACAGTAATTGCGGTTTGTAAGAGACTTTTTGGGAGGATTTGAACAGATTATCATCCGAATTATGAAGGATATCACGCGATATTCGAGGTAAAGTTCCACAACTCAGTTTAATCTCTCAAAGGCACATCGCAACTTTGTTGATGTTATAAGGAGCCTTACATCTCTCAAGTTAGAGAAGAATATTCTCTTACAAATATAATAAACGACTACTTGAGCATTGCATGTTCTCTATATATTCCAAAAATACTTTTCCTGAGGAAATCAGATGAGTGCGGTTTTAGTATCTCTGTACGTGCGTGTTATATAGTTCAGTGCACAGCGACATCCTGTCTCACCACATCCAAACAAGAAATCAGCTAAGAATTTAAATTCCTGCCAGCTTACGTCTTAATACATGTAAAAAACCAATACCATCTTTGCTCTTCGACCAGATTAGCTATCTTAGTTTTAAGGTGTTTTACAAATACGAAGAGTGTGACATTTGTTTCATCTGAACCGACCTAACTATCTATAAGCGCCTTAGAATAATGATCAGAGCGTTACCGCCCTCTTGTCAACGACAGCTTGCTCTTGTCTTAATTTTGAATTGTTACGATGTGAAACACGTCATTTATCTGATGTAATCATATCTAGTATTGTATTCGCGGTTCGTCTACCCGCCTTTATTAATTCAAATATTGCTAAATATGTTCGTCAAAATCATCCAAACGTCGCTGAACGTTTGGCAGCCTGATTATCTCATTGCATCCGAAAGTGCAAATCGTTCATAAATAAAATCACGAAAAGGCAAATTGATTAGTTCAAGCAGTTTCTTTAAAACTTAAGTTCTTAAGTGTGCAAATTCAAAACTTCACTCAATCAAAGGGTAACTGTTTGAACTCTGATGAGTTTGTCAGGAAGTTTTCAAAACTCGTGCACGTTTCGAAGGTCGCGGGATAAATTGTGCTTGACGCCTACCTCTTTCGAATACCTTCTAGTAACGCCCAAGAACGCGCGCATTGTCTAATATTTTTAACCAAATGCTGATCTGACCTGATTTATTTGTCATTATGCCAAAAGATCTTTTTCCAATTTCGTTATTATAAGTAGAACAACATTTTAGTTTACAGTTATTAACTTAAAACAAAATGTAGTATTCAGAATCGAATTATTCCTTTTCACGTCAAAATCACCAATTTTTCCACGTTGACCAAGAAAACAAAAGTCGATTGTAAAAGTCATTGCCATTTCGCGACCGATGACGAAGTATTTATTACTTTGTTTTATTTTTTAACTACTAAGTTTCTTCATGAAATATCGAATCATCCCTTCACGTGATAATCATCATGTTTAATTGCTATCTAATTGATAGCACAAAAATTGACAGTAAAAGCCTTTTGTAAAAGTTTGCATTTCACGACAACGACAACTTCGAAAACCTTCGTGGAGTAGTTCATGACAGCACGTTTGAAACTTTAAGTAATATATTGAGACTTCACATCAAGGACATTTTCTACTTCTCCCAATACATTGATTAAAATACCAAACGATCCTTGACTGTTTGATTAAAGAGGAAAAAAACTAAATTATTTGAGAGAAAAAGATTTGGCATGGAAATTTGTTTATCTTTTAATAAACGAAGGATGATTTTACAAGAAACTTTTAAAAATCTCGGCTGATTACAGAACAGCTAAACTGATTCACTAGAAGTTTCTAATTCGTTTGAATGACTTTACTCAAAATTTTTCAATTGAATTAACTGGGTCTGGTCTGTAGCATTGAATCATTCCTTTCATGTGATATTCATTGAGTTCCCACGTGGACGGGCGAACAGAACAATGGTCAGTTGTTAAAGTCTCTCTCAAAATCTGCTATTTGACAGAAAGTAAAAAGTCTCTCAAAGTTTACATCCATTTTGAATTTCTTGTGAGAAAGTTTATAAAGCATGATAAGGCGTCAGTACCTTTAAAGAGTTCACCCATAAATTCCAGCCTCCACTTTAAGAACTTATAAAATGATTATTATAAATCAAATTTAAAAAACTTATCCTCAACAGAATTGGTATGCTCTGCTTTCCTTGAGATGGAACAAATTATCTCCGAAATCTAAGGCGAAAAACGCCAGCAGATTTATGCGGCATATCATGTGTAAATGGCGTGTAATTGTAGTGCAAAAAGATTTACTTGCCTTTTATTTCTAAGAAACATAAAACTTCGATGGAAATGAATAACGGTCATGGAGTGAGAGAAAGAAACTGATACAGTGAAAACAAAAACTATATACTAATATAATAATGATTGGGTACGTTTGTCGCCACTTCGGACATGTCCAACTGTGTAAATGCATATCGGTGAGGGATAGGGTATCACGCCTCCTAACCGTCTTCAAATGAATAGAACCACTGCTTGAAATGTTTCGTGAAAGACGAAAAGTACCTTCACAACAAGGAGTCAAACTATTATTCAGAAAGATAATCAGCTCTACAGATGTTTGGCTTTTAAACAGAAGGGTAAAAACTTAACAAGTGTCTACAAGAGGAAAAAACGCCCCCCAGGCTACCAGACATCCAAGCCACACTGGGAACAATTTGACTTGCCTGTTGACCTACATTTCGTAAAGCGTGGGAAAGTTTGTCTATGTTCACGCTTGTATCTGAAAAATAGATCAAACTTTTAATTGGGTCTAAGTATCCCTTCCTTAGGAACCTGGTGTTCATTAAGATGTAAGTACACACTTCTGAAAAATCAGGAATAAAGTGAAAAAAAAATTCAAGAAAAACACTGCGGATGTTTGATAAAAAGGCGTGGTATTTACAAGAAGACATATAGTTTTAAAAAAAGCTTTCAGCCTTTAAAATCGTGCGGTAGCTTTATCACTGGCTCATATCCAGGTCGACAGACTCCCTTTTCAGTCACTTCCTTATCAGATAAAATATCTGTCGTCTCCTACAGAACAATCGCTTACTTATAGATGAAATCAAAACCTATGAGCAGCGCGTCTTTTTTTCCAGCGTATCCTTTTTGTTCATCAGATACACCGCTTTGAAAGAGGACTGATTAAATCAAAGTAGTTATTTTAATATCATCCACAGGTGCTATTGTTTCGTTCCCATATAAATTCCTGCTTCTCTTGATTCGCTCGTCACCTGCCCTTTTAGGGTCTGCTTTTTCGAGAGCTTTTCTAAACTAAGCTTTGAATACTTTGACACCATAAAAAATGAAAATGCCATAAAAGTTTTCCTACCCACGAACGGCCAGTTTTTCACCTGGATTAACCGAATTAGTGTGACGTTTACTTTATTCAACCGACCTAGCGGTCTACAAGCACTGATCAGTGCATCACCACCCTCCTGTCAATCACAGGTTCCTCACGTCTTTTTAATGTAAAGGTTTACAACAGTTTGGAACACACTATTGATCAGAGATGACAGTTTTAACTCTGTGATTTTTCTTCTCTTTAACGCCTAATGATTTCGATGGTTGCGGTGTGTACATTACAAATGTAACTAACGCCCGAAGAATCTGCTTCTTTTGGAAAAAAAAATACCCCCTTCTTGATTAACTTGTTAAGGACTATGCTTGTCATTACGCCAGGTGATCGGTCAGTTTGTCAGACAAACGATCAGGCTTCAGAAGTGTTCGGATATTTCAAACCCAAAATACAGAAGTTCTCTTTTAGTCAAACGAAAAAGCACAAAGGGGAATTCC